AACTTGAATATGCAGCCACTGAGAGCCCACAAATCTCAGGGCAGCAAGTACCACTATGTTTCAGGTACGTTTTGGAAATGCATGTCTCTAGAACTTCTGAACTCATGCCATGTGAGTGAAAAAATGGCCAGCTTCATAAAAATGTAGGGATAATAAGCAAGGGGTGTGGGTAAGTTTTCCTAGGCAGCACCAGGGTGGCTTTCCAAATGTTGTGGCACATGGCCCTCCAGAAGTTATTGGGCCGCAACTCCCACTGTCCCTCGCCATTGCCTATAGCAGCAAGGGCTGGTCGGAGTTGTAGTCCAACAACATCTGGAGAACCAGAAGTTGCCTCCCTCCTTGACCTGGGGCTTGGCCCACCAGTTTCTCCCAGAAACTACCAGATCCAGCACATCTTTTTCATATCAAAATGAAACAAATTTCTTCATCTGTCAAAAATTCACATACCTTGTTTTCTATTTTAGGGGTTCACATCCTGGGCAAAGATTTGGGTTGTGGGAAGCAGGACATGGAAATAAAGGTTGAAGTTGCTGTCACAGTTTCGGTGTAAAATCAAATCCAAGTGGGCCTGTCCTTTGTAGTGATTAGTTCATGCTTTTCGTTTGCAGAGCAGGAACCAAATAACTAAATTAGTTTGAGCATCAGGAGTAGCATTGTGGTCTTTAGTTGTGCTTTTCTCAATCATTAATGCCTCCCACTCTTGTTTATACATGACCAACAACTTTTGAAACTTCAAGAGAGCTTCAAGAAGAGTTTTGGCCTAACAGAGCCTCTAGTTGCATCACGTTTCAGAAGCATTGCTGCTACATGTGCAATGCTTAACTCTGTGGCCATCTTTAGACCACAGCATTAAGCCAGACGTAGCTTTGCAACTGCGCTGTTTTACTGACATTTAGCCTTTGTTTAAAGTTCTCTTCCAAATCGCAGTAAGAAACACAACACAGTCCCAAGGGAGACCTTCTGCAGTGAAAAATGTAGCTATGGCTGAGTGGAATGTGATGGAGTAAACTTAAGGAGATGAAGGAAAGGTCTGAAGGGTGAGCAGTTCTGGACATAGCTAAACAAATAAGAATGAAACTTTCTAAACAACTGTGAAGAACCAACACCACTTGACGAAGAACAAAGATCTCTGAAGCTGGAAGACCACAACATGGTGACTTACTTTTGTTCATATTTTTTCTGGGAGCATTTTTTTAGGCAGCTAATAGCAAAGAAGGCAAACCAAACAGGGACAAATGCTGAAGAACACAAAGTATGGCTTATTGTAGGCTGGGGGAGGCTGACAGGAGAATTTGGTGGGACACATTGGTAAGCCTATGATTTCTGATTTCTCTCTACAGTAAAAGAGAGAAGAAATGGATGTAAAAGAAATGCTTGTTTATATGAAAGTAACTTAAAACCACACTCCTTAACTGACAACTACTTGACAGCTAAGTATCTGTAGCTTGGATGACCATCATTATTGTCTGAGTCTTTGTCATTCCTTTGCATGTTCCACCCATAATTCTTTACTCATATTTACAGCTTCAAACACCTACGCCTTCCTGTAGACATTTCTTTCAGATCACCTTACACATAAGCCCTGAACAACATTGATCCGATTTCACCTAAAGAACATGTTCTTGCCTGATTATTCCTTTCATCTAGTTCTTGTATCTTCCAAATATTTTGAGCTTGCAAGTGTTCTGGACAAAGAGACCTAATTTGACTTGAAACACAATAGGCTGGTAGTTTTGCTCTGTCAGCAAAAGCTCCACCAGTAGAATTCCAAAGCTCTGAATATTCAAAATTATATTGCAACACAAATATTTGAACAAAAAACAAAATTTCATGCATCAGAAGGACAAGACACAGCACAGCATCTTGCTAGAAGACACGTACAATGCACCACATTTCTGAAAAGTCTGAAAGACCTTGGAACCTCTAGAAAAGAAAAATTAAGGTTACTTCAGACTTTTTCTTGCACTTAGAATTATACTCTAAAAGCAATAATAATTTGTACCAGTATATAATCCACTAATACTGAAGTTTCATTTCAACATCAAGATTTTACAAGGTGCAAGCATGTTCCCGAAAAAAGTTGTTAATAACGAAGTCTTATTTCATTGCTCTCGGTTGGGCAACGCAATTCAATACATTGTTACTAAGAAATAAGTCCCCTATGATCAATGGTACTTACTCTCAGGTAGGTATGCAGAAGAATACAACTTAATCATGACTAATTTGGGTGAGATTGTGTGCAATAAATGCAGAATTTAGATGCTCCACATCAGCTTGTAAAAGGTACATTCCACTCCCTTCTTCTGTGGAGTTCAGAGTAGCATAAGTGGGCTATCCTATCCCACATCACTGTTGAGATGTAAAACATTCAGAGACTCCTAAGTGGCTAGCAACAATAAATGAAAACAAGAATGCAATCCTATATTTACCTGGGAGTAAATCCCATTTAATACAGTGGAGCTTACTATTAAGGAGACATGCATTGAAATGTGCTGTGAATAAAACTGAACACAGTAATAATCACAAAAATAGGTGTAGTGTGGTGTAGTGGCTAGAGTGTTGAACCAGAATTGGGTTCTAGTTCCCAGCTGGCCATGAAGCTCCTTGGACAATTTTGGGCTGGTCACAGACTTTCAGCCTAGCCTCACTCACAGGGATCTTGTTGTGAGGATGGAGAGGCCGAGTCCTGTAAGCTGCCTTAGATTCCTTGTAGAGGAGTAATGGTGGGATATAAATATAATGTAATGTAAGTAAGAATGTATTAACAAAAACATTCTTAAATACATCAGGAGCAGGAAAACAGCTAAACACTGAGCAGAAACTGTATGAATTCTTTCTGTCTGTGCTACAGATGAACAGTGTGTGCAGTATGCATTATTAATATAAATACTGGCATTATAAGAACACACTCACAAGTCATCAGATGCACTGGGTTCAAGGCTGAGGAATCACCTAATGACCTGGGCTAGCTAGTGTGAATGAGGCAAAGGATGAATGATGGAATTCTTACAGAGGCAAAGCCATGAATAACCTGGAGAGGTTTCCCTTAAAATTGATGAGCCAAAATGACTCTGCAAGGAATGGCTACCATTGCGGTATGCAAGCACAGTGAGTCACCAAGAGGTGAGAGACAGGGCCCATGGAAACCATCCCATCAGTAGTAGTAAGCATCACGAAGATACCTCTTAACTCCTAGAAAACAGACAGGGTCATGTAGCAGACAGGGACAAGAAATAGCTGTATTCATCAAGCATAATCTTCCCAGAGCCACAGAAGCAGGGGCAGGGGAAAGAGCGTAAGAACCAGAGAGTTAACAAATGGAAGTGGGCCGGCTCTAGACACAGGCTGGCACCCAGTCCAGAACGTGCAATGCTTGCACCCCTCCCAACTTCAAATGCTACACCTGCCAAGAGTTTACTGCACAGGACAAGCAACAGACAGGTAGTAGCCTGGGACTTCTCCCCAGTGATTTAAGTCTACATACTGAAATCCCTACTTATGAGGCTCACACTTAAAAACACACATACACGCATCCCCCAAAATTTAAAAAACAAAACCCAGAAGGAAAACTATTACAAGAGTATTTTAAAAAACAGTAGAACTATACAAGCATATACACGAAAGGATGTGTAAGATAGAAATTACTTTGACATGACTCACAAGACAGTCTTCTCTCAGCTATTATTTATGTACTGTCTGATTTTGCTGCCAGTTATGTGTCCATGCATAATGCCAGGTACCTGACTCAACAGCAGGTATGCAGACAAGATCCATTACTCTTATGCATGTCATACTTGTTGGAAAATAACAGAACCGTTAAAGCAGCTGGAACAATTGACTGCCCCCCCAAAAAAACCAGACCCTCAATAAATGTTCGTAGTATTATTTTAAAGCTTATTAAAAACTTTATTCAGCTGAATCCTGCTGCAGTTGGAGAATACTTTTAAACAGGATTGCCACCCTATCACAGCTTTCACTGAATGTGTTAAGCTCATAATATCCTCCAAAGAATGTTAGCACACCACGCAGCATCACTTCACCTGTTAGTTATTCAGGGAAGGCAAGCGACACCCTCCTCTAGCCATCTCTGTGCCTCATATTTTCTCAAATGCAGCCTATTTCCTGCAGCGCCCTTACCTGAAGAGCCGGACCCACCAAACATAGCAGAGCTTACATCACAAAGAATCATAAAAGAGCTGGAAGGGGCCATGAAGGCCATCGGTCCAACCCCCTGCTGTTGCAGGACACCACGTTACGCCATCCCACTCGATGGCGTACAGGACTGGACAGACTTGTCTTAGAAATGGCTATTAGAATTATTTCCAGAACTAAAAGGGTTTACTTCAAAGAAATGTACATTGACAGAAGCCTTCTCCTTTTCCCTGCCCTATTTAATGGGAACAAGGATCCTATAGGTCAGCTGAAGGGCAACAGAAACCAATATATACCATTAAGACGACTCCTACAGAATCCAAGCATTCTGCTTCTACATTGTTTTATCACGACCTCCAAGTTATGTTATTGATATGTATGTGCTCCCACTTGATTTCTAAACAGTTTGAGTGCAATGATGCTTGTTTATGTAGTTTGTGACTTTTTACATTGTGGATGTTTTTCCTTGCTAGCCACCTTGGGCATTATACAGTGGTACCTTGACTCACAAATGCCTCAGTTCATGACCAATTTGGGTCACAAACTGAAATTACAGAAAAATTTTGCCTCAGATCGTGACCTCCGCATTGAGTGATGAATGCAATCACACCATCTTCCTTGCCCGACCACGACTGAAGGTTGGCCGAGACAAAATGACTGGCCCAAAATCACCCAGTGGGCTTCATGGATGAGTGAGGACTAGAACGCGGATCTCCCAGGTCCCCAGTCCAATTGTCTAACCATCACACCATACTGGTGGAACTATAGACATTACACCACTTACATTAAATTCAGTAAGCAATCTTTAATAAGATTACAGCATATCCAATATACTTTGAAACCAGCCAGCGATGTAAAATTACTTTATTGACTGCATCATACAATGTTTTCAACTCAATAAATATTGATCCCAAAAACATAACTGGTCATTTAGGACAAGGACAAAGTAGGTCCCTGAAGAGTGTAAAGGAATGGGACGGAGAGATGCTACTGCAAGATGCATCCCATAAACTGGACTCAATTGCTTTTCCTGGGCACGAAGAGTTCATAAATGACATAGCCTGTTCCTATAGAGAAGACACACAATGTTAGGATAGACTGAATACACATGCAGTACCCAATTACATGTTCTTATAAGTATAACCCCTTCCATGAAAAAAGATACGTAGAGTGCTTTTGCTGTACTAAAGATGCCAGAAGATACATTAACCAGTAAACCTACCATTCTTCCATTTAAAAAATCAGCAAATAAAGCGAGCACAGCACTGAAATGGAACAAAATACTGCAAAAATTTCAAGTGCAATTATTGCAAAGACTGCTTACCATCCAAGAGTTTCGTACTTAAAAAAACCCCAAAAACTGGTATTTTAAACTTATCAAGTTTATTGTTACTAACTGCTACATTTTTACTTCAGCTTCCATTCAAAAGCTTTTGCCTAAAGTTTCAGGACTTTAAAAATCTGGATGAGTAACTTAAATATTGTGAACTGCCCAGAGAGCTTTGGCCATAGCTATAGGTGGTATAGAAATATTATGTCATAACAATGTTAATAAGTTTTCAGAAAACAATACATCTAAAATGTGAAAACCCCATACTCTCATAGGTGATTCACTCAAATACTTACATTAAACCAGCACAATATAAAGGGGCTTACAACAGAAATGCTTTAATTTTTTTTTTTTAAAGAAACTCGGCTACCAAGTATATAAAATGAGTCATAGAAACATAGTGAGTCAAAAGGGCCATCTAGTCTGATAGGAGTTTTTTTTTAATAAACCAACTGCAATGCACAAACACAAAGTCAAACAAGCATTTGAAGAGACAGAAACTGTTGGTGTAAAATGTAATTCAACTTATATTTGAACAGGTAAAAATGAAAGAAGGCAGAGAAATTTCAAATTTATGTAGATTTAGGTAGAATATTGCCTTTTAAAAAATGATCAAGTTAAAAAAGAAGTTTGTGCTAGTTCAGCTCCTACTTTGTTAAACCTTACCAAAAACAGTAAGGGCCATAGTAAATCGATACAGGAATCCATCCATTGGTCCACCTTTTAGGTACACTGGAAGACCATTATCTTCCTAATAAGAGGGACAAATAAAATCACATGTTAGACTGGGACTAATGTCTTCATGGATAATATTTTCTTATTAGATAAAAATAGATCCAGAAAGGTTCAATATTAAAAAGGTAAATCCTGTTCATTTTTGCGGAGTTTATAGAAAAGGTACAGAAATGGTATAACTATTTTAGTTACATATCTAAGACTGGACATTGTAATTCAAAATATTTACTAGAAATTGGAAATTAGTAGCTATTGAAGCACGGATATATAGTAAGCTAAAGCTAATGAAAAAATACTTCCTGAGGTTGTTCTGCATGTTTTTCCACACATGTAGGAAAAGTTCATGCACACCTGCACACCCACATCTGCATGTACTGGGGTGTGGGTACACATGCTGCCCTCGAGTGCTGCCCAATGCTGACCTTGTGAGCCCCGGCCACACAGGAGCATGAAAACTGAAGCTACCACACTGCAGAGCACACCTACCAACCCTGCATCCAATGGCACTGCCAGGACTGAGGGGACCCTAGCTCTAAGCCTCTCCCCATGGATTGCTCCAGCAATTCCAGCCACTTGCCAGATATTGGAAAGGAAACAAATAGGTCTCCGTTTCCAAAACTTTTTTTCCCAAAGGTCACCTTCACCCCCAGCACACACAACATCCTGTTAAAGTTTTGGAAAAAGAAAAATTAACAAGTTTCTTTATTTTATTAATTTATTAAGTTATTAAATTTTTCAATTTATATCCTGCCTTTTTCCTACAAAGGGCTCAAGGCAGCTTACATCTCCTCCTCCATCTTATCCTCACAACAACAACCCTGTGAGGTAGGTTGGGCTGAGAGTCTGTGACTGGCCCAAAGTCACCCAGTTGGCTCCATGACTGAGCCGGGACTAGAACCCAGGTCGTCTGAGTCCCAGTCCCATGCTCTTAACCACTACACCACACTGGCTCTCACTTCCTGTCTTTATGCAATGCCACAGCATTTCACAGATTCCTGGAAAGACTAGACTCTGAAGTCTTTTAGAGGACACAAATTTATTAGTACAACATTTACTTGCACTCTCCTTTGATATGTCTTTAAATAACCAGGGATTGCAACCTTAGGTAGAATATTGGTCCTCGCTGATTTGTCCTTATAACCCACTGCTTTATCTTTCATACAACCTTTTTGCAATCACTGGCATAAATTATTCAAACAACTATGTTCCTGAATCTGTGAATATTTAACTGAGAGCATATCACACAGAAATCCAACTATGCTGTCTTACATTTTAAGTCAACGATGACTGTAGCATTATATTACGCAAGTGCTACTAAATGTTGACTCAACTCATTCCTCTGAAAAAATAAGGAACCACTATACTCTCATTTGTTCTCAAACTAAGAATGCAACCTATACCTGGAAAAGTTTCTGCTTCTCTTTAACCTTGTTTGCCATGTGTCTGCGGGAGGCAGTGCTGATGGTTTTCTGAGAAACCTGCCGAAGAGCCTGCAAGAAAAACACATCAGAGTGCATCTGTTAATACCACTATTCACAATTATTTGGAGTGTAAGCCAAATTTGACACTATGTTTTGGACCAAATGAGGTTAGTAAGGATAGCAATGTACACAGGACAGCTATAGTTTGCTGCAAACTGAAAGAAAAAAATGTCCACAGACAAAATGCACATGCTTATATGGAACAATTAGTCATTTAACCATGTTTGAGCAAGCAGACGAATTGTGTTACCATATTAATGCCAAACACATTAAGGTCTTGGCAGAAGCAGAGCAAGAAAGCAGAGACATCATCAACCCTACTTAGAAGCCAGGTTCATCAGCCCTGCCTCACTCTCTGCCCAGCAGGCAGCAGCCGAACCATCAGGTTACAGGAGGGGAGAAACAGGGCCACTCCATCAGCTCAGCTGAGGGAACGATTGTGGACTTCTCTGCTTGAACTGTTTTCATTCCAGGTAGGTGGAACAACAGATTATAAATACATTAGAACCAGTGCTTTTTCTGTAAAAAAAAAAAAAAAAGTGCCGGAACGCACGTCGCCAGCAGTAAGTGCGCGACCACACACACAGCGGAGCATCCCAAGCCAAGAGCAGCGCCCTCACTATCTCACTATCTGACAGCAGACAGCAGGCACAAAGCAGCCTGCAGGCACTATGTTAATGATGTTTGCTGCTGATCTGCTACGATTCAAAATCACTTCGTAAAATCCATTAGAAAAAAAGGTGCCGGCATGCTGTTCTGGTGCGTTCGATGACAAAAAAAAGCCCCGATTAGAACTATTACAGCAAACTGCTGCTGTTTGTAATATCAAAACAGAAATTTGTACCCAAGTTTTCTGGTTTTTTTTTTCTTTCTCCATCCCTTTTCAGAGGGAAAGTGGGGTATAAATACAACTGTGGTTTAGTATTGTGAACCATTATGTCCGACTACAAAGCTGGCTGTATATGGATGCTGTCAGCAAACACAATTTCACAACAACTGACATTTTCCACATTTATCCAAATAATAGTCCAGTCCAGATACTTCAATTGGTACAAAATAGAGCTGCCAGGCTGCTGATGGGGACCGGCCATTATTCTCATATAATGCCAGTCCTCTATCAGCTACACTGGCTCCCAATTGAAGTCCCGGCCCAATTCAAGGTGCTGGTATTAAACTATAAAGCCCTAAATGGCTTGGGACCATTTAGAATACCAGAAAGAATGTCTCCTCCCCTACATGCCCTCACACCCCTTAAGATCAGCTGGAGAGGCCTTTCTTTGGAAACCCTCCTTGAAGGAGGTCTGGAAGATGTCTACCCAGAGGAGGGCCTTCTCCGCAGTGGTGGCCAGACTATGAAATGCACTCCCCAGAGAGGTTTGCCTGGCACCAACTTTATACTCATTTCAGCGCCAGTTCAACCATCATTTTAATAATTAAGGCTTTTTAGATGCTTTTAACATTTCCAGTCTCATTCTTTATTCTTTCTTTCCTTTAGTTATGAAAGTAGTTGTTATGCTGGTTTATTATTTGTTTGAATTATTGTATCATTGTATTTTATGTTATTTAATCTCTGTAAGTCATCCTGAGCCGTTCAGAGGAAAGGACGGAATATAAATGTTTTATATTAAATTAAATAGTAGGCAGCAGTAGGCTACATCATGAAAAGCCTATTTTACAGTGAGTTTTATCTATATTAGCATAAAAGAACTAGACAGAGAGATCGCATCACTTCCAGTTAGAACTTATTCTTCTATACATTTGGCCCTGGCAGATCTTCTGCCACCTCTTACATTGCCCTGTAAGAACCCTGTCTTCCTGTCGGATAAAGAAATTTCTGCATGCACTTGAGAAAATAGGTTCTATTACATAAAAATACATGCTAGTACTCTTTTCTATAAAACTTTAATTTGCAGAACATTAATATGTCTACATTTAAAATTCAGGTTTTTTTTTCAAGCCCACTTCCCTTTCTAAACCTGCTCCAAGCCTCAAATTCTGTGCACCATCCGAACACTATTAGATGTTGATTCAACAACAGATACAAGAAAAGTTGGCTGCAGATGGAATCTAAACTTCAACATAGAAAATCAGTCACTACCTTGCCCTCAAACTACCATCCATTCACATCACTCATCTTCCTTTCACATTAGTAAAGCCCCCAAAACATGTAATCTAGTGTTGCCACCTGAAGAGCTCCAAAACAGGGGACATTCTAGGAGTACAAGAAAATGACATATCATGCCTTTCAGAATATTACCATTTCTCTAAATAAACAGACTGCTGACACTATATATTGAAATGAAGCTACTTTTTGTAAAGAAACACACTTTAATGCTTAACTAAAGAGCTGTTCCTTTAACAATGGAAAAAATGCCAAGCCTAATAGAAACATACATGAGATGGAATGTTTGCAAAACCCATTAGGGGGTAGTAGAAAAGCAGTACTGGAAAGGCATTAAGTTATCAAGTCAGTCAAACACAAACACAAAGGACTTTGTCATTCAAGAAAACAACACTCTTTTTATATATAAGACATGTAACCTTTTTAGATGCAGTACAATGGTTATGAAAATGTGACACTAAGGTTCACTTTTAAAAAGGCACGACACAAGAGGAAATGCATATGGGGAAAGAGAAAGCAAAATAAGTAGGTTCACCACCTAAATGCGCTAATTTGTGTGCCTGTACCTACTTTACACCACCCATCATTCAGGGTCCCCCACCCTTTTCTTATGAAAATAAATGACTTCTTTTGATGTAAAAGGAAACCAAACTGAAACGCCCCCGCCCCTTACAGTGGCATAATCAGCCACACCCTGGATTTACAGTCTCGTCCATTTTAGTTGTCGTACGGGCCCTAAACATCCATTTATTTCAGCGGGTTCAGAGACGGGCCTCACGTTATCGATGCACAGGGCTGTTAGCTACCTCGCCCCGCTCGCTCACAAGCCACGAACTAACTGGGTGAGCCCAGCCGCCCATCTCCGCACACCGCACGGGGGCTGGCTGACGGTCGTCTCCATGCAACGGGCCCTGCCACGGAGTAGCGGCACAGCATCCCCCGCCAAAACACCTGCGGCTCTTTCCTCAGCGCTTTCCACCGGCAAGGACCACCCGAAGGCGGCGCGGCGTCCCCCCGCCCACATACCCAAAGGTTCCGAAGCATCTTGGCCCCCTGCGCCTTCACCTCCCGGTTCACTCGAAGCAACAACAAGGACACCGGAACAGGAAGTGGCAAGCCCGCCGCTGCTCTGTGACGTCACAATTTTCGCCTGCAGAGGCGGAAGCGAATACGGCGTGGGTATACGAACGTGCACTTCCGTTAGACGCAAAATGGAAGACACGGTTGAGGAGTGATTGTGAAGCTATCGCGGCGTCGCTCTTGCCTCTGGCGTCTCTATGGTGCACTTCCTCCAGGTTCTCCGTGGGAGGTTAAAGAGCCGAACGCCGCTTCAATGGGTGATCGGAGGCGTCGGAAAAGACTAGAGAGATTGAGGGAGGGAAGGGACCGCCGTAGGGCGTAAAAGACGCCGGCCTGGGGAAATCTCGAGCGTCGGGAATGTCTTGACGGAGGAATGATGAGTTCCTCCCCGGTCTGGAGTAAATGGCGGTCACCCTTTCGTGGATCGCAGCCGCACGGCCAGAGTTCAAGGTCCGAAACGGGAGAATCGCCTCTTGCGGCGAAGGGCGCGGCGTGTGAGTCGCAGCCCGGCGTTACCGATACGTGCTTCAGTACTTTTGTGGTTTGTGTTTTTAATTTTTCTTAACCGCCTCGGCTATTGGGCGGTATACAAATAAAATAAATCAGTCAATACAAGGGTTTGAAAGGGATTTATTCCTAAATAAAGCTGCAGTACTGAACACACTTAAGGGAGAGATCCTATGCATGCTTCGGCGACAACGTCCTACCCTAACCCAGCCATGCTTCCTGGGAAATAAAGGCGTTTTTGCTGTCTAAGCCTGCAGTGGGGTTGAGCTCTGACTAGAGACGAGGCACCTTTGGGCTCAACGGTACTTGCTTGTGAATTAAAAAATAATAATGCTAAAATTCACGGGAGGGCAGGACCTTGATTAGGAGGAACCCGAAGGGGAGATGGCGCAAAAGGCAGGTTGGAGTAAGTCTGAACGCCTCCTGCTGCTAAAAACCCTGGGATATGTTCTAGACATGAAACGCTGTGACGTCTAGCCAATGTGCATCTAATGTAAATCAGTTTCAAAGAGTCCACTCTAAAGGCTTAACAATTGGTTACAGCCCAATGTTTAAGAGCTAAATCATGTCTAGTATTTTACTTTTACCCTTTTGCACACCAATAGCCATGCAAAACAGTATAGTCCTCCAGTCTAATAATGGATGTCAATTGAATTTGGTTTATTTGACTACCTCTGTTGCAGCAAAAGGGTCAGATAGTCCCTTAAAAAATAGCCAACTTATTGAGGCTTAATTTTCATGGAATGTATGCATGAAGCGTTATGGTTAGGGAGCAAATATGTATACAGATAGGTGCTGATGGAGACAGGATTAGCTGGGACCCCACTAAAGCCCCAGTCTTTCATTTGGAGCCCAGTGCAATAGAAAGACATCTGCTCAACCTCCGGGCTATATCTCACAAAATGTGGAAACTTGTCTAAAATTTTGTGTCTCTGACATCAAAAACTAGATGAGGACACCTGAAGAGCAACCAAATCCATTTTAAAAAGAAGGATTTTGTTGTAATTAAAGATACTTTTATCTCATTTCCTAATGGTCAGATTAATTAAAAAGCATTTGATTGTGAACTCAGCTACCCAAACTGCTTTGGCTATGGGCAGATATAGAAATGAAATCAATCATAGCAATAAACAAACTTTTGTGAGCCATATATTTGCAATCTGTTTTGTAAGGATCAATTTAATCTTTAAGCTGTGGTGCCATGTAAAACACCACCATAAGAAGAGTGCCTTCCTCTGCAATTGAGTGTGTGTAAACTCCTCAAACATGTAGGGAAAATGCCTCTGTAGTAACAAAAGATTTGCTTCATGGTAACACTTGTTCCCTATGAAAGAATTTCAAGTACTTTATGGGAGTAGGAGGAACTCCTCTGTGAAGAAAGTTACATTTGTGTCTGTTTAGAGTAGAGCAGAGTCCAAATAAGGGAGAAATTATAACAGTGTACAAAATTATGCATGAAAAGAGATATTTTTCACCCTCTCATAATACTAGAGCTGAGGACAGAAGTACCTCTTTGCAGAGTGCACCTTAAACTACCCTAAGTCTTTGTAATGGCCTCCAATTTGGATGGCTTTAAGGGGAAAAACCTGTTTAGTCCTGGCCTGTGTGTGCTGCCTGCAGCATCGGAGGCAGTATGCCTGGGTACACCAGTTGCCAGGGGAAGGGGGCAGGAGCATGCCGTTGCACTCCTGTCCTGCTTGGGGGCTTCTGTGGGGCAGCTGGTCGGCCACTGTGTACACAGAATGCTGGTCTAGGGGGACCTGAGAATGATTTAGCATGGCTTCTTAAGTTCTTCTGTGACTGCTGTGATATATTCCCCCCTCCCATATATGTCCCCACCAGAAAAAAAATTATACAAGTGATGCCATAGTGCACTTTCCTTGAAGTAAAAACAAGGATTAGCAACCTATGAAATTACAGATGAGCCTAACCTTCATAGAGTTCTCACAACCAAGACTTACAACCAAGGTGGAAAGTTCCTGCCAGAAAGGCACACACAAAATGTGTGGATTATGTATAAAGGCACTGTGGTTGCTTCACTAATGCTCTGCTGAAGTATATATTTTCTTCAATGACTTGTTACTTTAAACAATTGAAATCTAAAACCAGCTTCAGCCTAAACTTGACAGAATAATTGAATTTACTGGCAGATGATTTAAGACCTGAATGAGGAAGTCTGTTAAAAAAAATAAGGTCCATGTACAGCAGCAATCAGAAGCTGTTATATAACAACTTTTCTGCTGTGTTTTGTAATGACTTTTAACATTTTGCTGCCTTGAGTGCTGTGATTATAGTTTAAAAGGCAGGGCATAGAATTTTTAAAATAAATATTAAATTTATTAGTTTCCCAGGATCAGCTAAGCAGTAGTCAAGGCTCTCAACTGGGTATTATTGAAAAGAGGGACAGAATTCAGCTGCATGAAAATTTGTAATTTAGGGACAAAGAATTATTTTTGTAGACATGTTATATAGACTTGGATTTACAAAACTTTGCCTGAGACTTAAAATACCTACCTCTACTTTTGAGTATGGTTCACTGAAGAAAGAGTGATACCCAAGGAAACATTTATAGTATCAGTCTTAAGTCCATTCTATTAAATAGAGTAGGACTTACAAATGAACATACATTGAATTAAACGAAAAGTAAACAAGTTTTCCCTCATTCACTTTAACAAAATGTTTAGGGTTATTGTTGAAGGCATCACCATTCAGATGTACAGAGCTAGACATTGCCAAATAAATGAGATAATATGGCAAAAGTAGGTATAAAGTTACCAGACTGCATTCAAGCTCAACTTTCTGGTCCTAGAGGCCAAAATTACTTTTATGTGGAGTCATCAGAAATCAATCCTGGATCTAAAATGGGCATATTCAGGGAACATCCAAGCAGGAAACTGGCTCAGCCAGAGGGGGATTACCCCTTGGCATTAACCAGCCAGGAAACTGACTTGGCTCAGATGCGTATCGCCCCTGGAAGGTGACCTTTGAACATTCAAAACTTCCAAAAGATGACCTGAGATTTCAGGCAACTAATAGGGGCTTTATCATATAACCATTGTATCACAGAAACATATCTAGGCCTGGAGCATTTCCAACAGGCATGCAGCCTGCAGGAGTATTAAACCAGCTTAGTATTTACATATTGCTTTCCCCATTTAAAGCACTCCACATTATCTCAGGAATCTATACAGCTCTTCCTTTTTCCAGTGTTGCACTTGCCACTGCAACCTATGTCACATTTTTGTCAGACCTTTGTAAAATTTGGCAACTCAGACTTTTCTACACTCTAGGGGATGGTCTTGTTTTGTTAGGCGCAGGACAATCATTCCTTGTTTAGAACTTGATTTAGATTCCATGTCCTTATTCCAATCTCTTGCCCCTGAGAGCAATTTAGCAGCCATTTCTCAATGACATTTTGAAGGAAAAAATAATCTAATAATCCCTTAACTAATCTTTGGAAGTAGCTGCATTTTTATTAAGAGGTGTTTCCCTCATTGCATCACCTATTCCTAGATTAGTTGAAGGATCCTTAATGAGTGAAGACTTGAAATGAGTTGGATCCATAGCTGCACAGACAAGACATCCAGCTTTTACTGGGATTCAACTCTTACCCATAAAAAGGTACAACAAATTGAAGCTCAGTTCAGCCAAGACCAAGATGCTCTTAGCGGATGGTTCCTCTGACCAGATGGAAGATATTCAGGAAGAGGTTGCACAGTCCCTGAAGTAGTGGGTTTGTACTTTGGGTGTTATTGTTCAATCATCTTTGTCACTTGGGCTCTGGCAGCCTCACTGCCAAGACATTCTTTGTATGAGCTCCAGCTTGTGGAGGAATAGCCTGGTTTCAGTAATCTATGTTCACTTCTTAGGGATGCTCATTTCATAGCATAGGTAACTGATACTTTAAAACATCTCGCAGCATAACAGTGGTGGCTTTTTCAAACTTCACTTACTTGCTCTTTAATGTGGCACTCGGCCTAGAAAATTCATCTTTGTGCACACATGTATTTTTACTCTCATCTTCTTGAGAGTTGCAAAGAGGATCTAGGAAAATTTGCCATGAGAATTATCTTAATGTTACTTCTCTAAAAGGAAGTGATTTACACACTTTTTTCCTTTATTCAGTAGACTGTGCACTAAAGTTTCAATGCAGCATGTTGGTTGTACAGATTCTTATAAGCAATAGATTTATGTGTATCAATACCTAAGGGATGTAAGAGTTGCAAGGAATACTGCTGCAAGCCATGGTCATATAGAACCATTTAGTGCACAAACTGTTTCTAGAAATAAACCAGTTGAGGGCACTGTTAACAAGCCTGCTCAAATCTATAGTGCATGAAGAATAAAGTTAGCTATTTTTTCTCCTTCCAAAGTACCTTCATATGAAATAAGTGTAGAAACAACCGGTGAAAGTCCTTAAAAGCTTTGCATCTTAATTACATTTTTAAGATCAACTAATAGCTTATTCTTTAAAAAGGCTATACTTCAAATTGCTTCCCTTGATCTTTTGATTAAAATCCATTAAGTATTTTTGTAAGTGTGGACCAAAGATTTTGGTGTGGTTGAATGTTTTTATGCATTCAAGGAGTTGCATCTCTTTCAAATGAAGAACGTTCACTCAACTTTATCCTCAGCTTCTATAATATGTAAGAACAACTTTTATTACATGTAGGAGCAGGCAACTTTTTACATTTATATAAAGTAGAACAATTTACAATTACATACTTTTATGTAATCAGCTGCTCTACAAGAGTAATGCTCTACAGCAACATACTTCCAAGGAGTTGTTACTTAAGCCAATAGATTGCAACTGGACACCTGAAAGTTGTTTTTGGATAGTCTTTTTTGCATTATAATATTTTCTATTAACAGCAATGCTGTTAATGCTGTTCTAAAGTGTGGCAAACCTAAAATGTTGGACTCCACAGCAATATTGGTACAGCAAGGGAAAATGATACCTTGCCCAGGCACACACAGTTACACCTCTCTACAAGTTCTACAAATGGCTAGTCTTTTGTTCTTGGCCATGAGCAAGGCAAAAGCTATATCCATGTCAACAGTGGCATGTGGTTAAACAGAAAGCGAGTGACAAGATGGACAAGTCATGGGAAAATATGAGTCAGTTCAGTGTATTGGTTTTGTACTGTACTTATTGGACAGATGGCAATACCAGGGCCCACACTTCCCAGCTGTTTCTAGGATTAATTTGAAAAAAATATATTCTGCCATCTGCCTAAACACATAAAAAGTCCCTGGTTTACAAATTTGTTTCAAAATGAGCTTTTCCTTGGCTAAATGTAGACAATTGCCTATGGTAAGAATAAAAGGCAGTATATTTAATACTGTAAATGTGGCAGCACAAAACAGTTGCACTAGTGAAAACAAACACTAGCCCAACCCCAAAACTAAGCTAAATTGGCATTTCCAGAATGAACATGTTACCAGAGTTTGTTTCCATAAGTCCCATTCCAGAAGTGCTAATTTGGACTCATTTCCAGTTGTGTTAGCCATCATCCTCATTACACCAGTGTTTGTTTCAGCTGGCACTATAGCAGCATTACATACTACCTGGACATTATGGTCTTGCTGTAAAAAAATATTTCAAAAAACCTGGGCAAGATATGTTGTCACAATAAGGCAGGTGCTCTTCCCACAAGCAGCTTCTCCTCTTCAGTTGTCTAAATGAGGTGACAACAGGGGGAATCTTAGCCTCTGCACTCATCCTGTCTTTTATCACATACACATGGATGGGTAGCAGTATTGGAGAGTATCAAGTTAAAATTTGTGTGTGTGTGAGAGAGAGAGAATATAGCAAATTTTGTATTGCTAACTTTTATGTTTTAATTGGACTATTTTATATTGTTTTTAAATATGCTTCTGTGAACCATCCAGAAAGCTTCAGCTGTAGGGCTATATAGAAATGAATTAAATACATAAATCTAAGCCAGGAATTTTCAATCAGCATATTTGATTTAGCTGGTAATCAGGATTGATACAGAAGGAACCTTAAAGAACCTGATATAACCTAATACTAGAGGTGAATTTATGCCAGTATTTAAAAGATGCCTGAATAATGTGGTATTAAACTGAGATAAAGAATGCATCACCATGGAAAATAATTTAAGGGGGAACACTCATTACCCATTTAGGTGAATTCAATCCCAGAGGCTGGGATGTACAGAAGCAAGGTAGCTAACAGGCATGACATATCAGACTGGTAGCACTTCATAAGCCATTGCTGAGCAAGTGAGCTAGCTCACTGGATTTAAGTTTGGGTTCTAGTAGTTCAGATGGAATAAATGTATATTACATTCACGTGCTTCACATTTAGCCACTTAAGCAGAACTCTGCAGTGGAATAATTCATCTTGTCATTCACATACTCTGCAAATACACTGGTTTGCATGTCCTAGACAATTAAGGATATGACTCTATGCTTGTTGGATCCAAAAAAGTACTAACACGACATACATGCCCCTGGCAGTACGGCTGGGGAATGCTGGGAGTTGTCAGATTTGTATTGTCTAAACATGCACAGGATTGCTCATTACATTTGGAACTCATTAATATTCATGACATAATTTAGGAATATTGACCTTCAATTTGTACATTATGCCAAACAGGCAAGTCATTTGTAAAAAAAAAAATAATTTGGAAAAATAAACAAACACCAGCACTACCACTCACTGTTTTATTTGATGAGTTACTTTGTTTTCTATTTATTTTGCATCTTCATCATGAAGTCTCTTTGTTTGCAAACTCCTCATACAGAGTGGCTTCCATACTCATTTTTGCTGTATTCCTCTGGTTCCCCAGTGGTTCTCAGTAGATGTTGCAAAAGACTCCTAAGCTCTGAGGTATCAGTAACTACAGTTTATAATGGAGTTTTTGCACTATTCCTTTTCCAGTTCTCTTGAATGCCAGAGTTTGAGCTGCTTTAGAAGATAGATTTTTGCTAATGATATCGTTTCATAAACAAATGACTGAATTTATTAAACCACAAACATTCAGAATGACAAACCAATATCATGTAAAGTAACTTCCATGTACATAGCAACTTTGTATAATTTTTAAATCCTTAGACTAGGGTTCTTACAATCTAGACAGATTTGACTGAAAATCTGCAAAATGCAAAATTCCCCACTTATCCCATTACATCAACTTTTAGCTTACTCTTTATGGCAAACCGAGTTACATTTGAGGACTCAAGAGCTTAAGTTGCTGGAACACCTTCTGAAGCAAGTTTAATGCTTCTTCCCAATTAGGAATATTAAAATAAATTATTAAAAGCTTTGCTTTTAACCAGAGGGGGTGAAGTTTCTGTACTGACACATTCAGCTGTGCCTGGCTTAGGAGCATAACCCCTCCATTTCCACAGAAGACATGCTGAGAAATTCAGATTACGCAAGGTGCTGGGCATAAGACAGAACAGCACACAGAAATCAAAGCAACAGCTTGATACGTAGCAGTTATTTCCACGTGGAAAGCAGTTTTTAAAGTCACTGGTCAACCAGAATGCTTTTTTGTTGCAAAAGTTCACATGCCGAACACTTGCTGGAACGTATGTGAACTTCAAACATGTAGCTGGGCTCAATGCAGAATTGTACAATTGTAATGTAGCAAGTATTTCAGCAGGGAATACAAAGCCCATGCTCACAATGCCTTGTGTGACAAAATGGTGGATAGGCCTATTTTCCTTTCAACAGCATCAGCATGCCTTCCATCTTAAATATTAACAAGCTCCTTCAGTCTTCCCCAACCTGGTACTCTGTCTATTTGGGTCACAACTCCTAGCTCTCTGGATCACTGGCCATGCTGGCCAGGGCAGATGGCAGCTGAAGTCCAAAATGTTTGGACAGCATCAGGTTAGGGAAGGCTAAGCTACTGTACCATAACACATTCTCACCTAAGAATCTTTACACAGTATTGACCTAGTACAAAGCACACCAACAAGCAGCAGATGCATTATGCAAGGAAAGACTAAATGCACATCATGGCACCCATCCAGCAAGAGAATCAAACCTCCAATCTCCTCTAGTCCACACTGTACACAGGTATCTTTTCTAGTCATTATCTTCATGTTAATCCACTGTTTGGGGAGCAAAGGCTTCAGATATACTAATGCATTCTCTCTCAGAAGCAATGTTTTCCAGGATTAGAGCTTTCGAAAGCTGTGTCTGCTCTGGACTGGCCTTGATGCACATGCAGTACGTGAGGTCTGAAGAGGTGGGACTAATTGGGAATATCTGCACTGTTGTTCCGATTCCCGTACTTGTGATGAATGATAAGCAGCACTACTCCGAGAAAAAAGCAAATGGAGCCAACTGTTATATAGGCTATTCCCAGAAAGGGATTTTTGCCTCCCATCCATGAAATGGTGCTCAGGATCATCCGTTTTCGCCCGTCAAAGCTATGCACAGGATAATCTGATTTAGGTATAGGAAAAATAGTGGCCAAGAAGAATTAACTAGCATGATAATGCTAATACAAAGTGTCACATCAGCCCAAGGAAAAGAGAGCATGTTTTTAAAAAGTAGTGCTCTGACAAACATTCAGTCTTTGTTTCAAGGTTTTATGGATGAAAGTTATTTTATCCAAAATTTCATGAACAAAAAATTGCCAAGAGAATTACTTGCAGCCAAGCTGTAGAAATTACAAGAAAAAGGAAGCAGACTGACAAGGCAAGACCGCTTTTCCGTGGCAGAGCTGTGTCGACTGTGTCACCGTAGCACCAAGTAGTAATGTGGACTGGTGTGCTTTTACTTGGAGAGTTTAGGACAGATGGGTTGGAGGGACCAAGAGCCATCTTTAAACTCACAGTTTAAAGTTAAAGACAGTCCTGATTTGCACTGACACATCACATGGTTTGTAATCTCCATGTGTGCCGGTTCGTGGTTTTAAATACTGTTTTGACTCTGCTCCACTACGTTTTAACCCGATTGTGGCTTTTTATGTTTTCGACCTTTTGTAAGCCACCTCCGTTAAGTAAGGCAATATAGAAATACTACAAATAAGTAATACAGTGGTACCTCGGCTCACCAATGCCTCAGTTCACGACCAAATCGAGTTGCAAACAAAAATTTCATAAAAATTTTGACTTAGGTCATGAACTCCGCTTTGGGTGGTGACCGCGATTGCAGCTGTCTCCCCACCCCCCCAAGTGGGGAGATGGCCAAGATTGCGCCTGTCTTTCCTGCACAAGCGCGCCCATGATTGCACTTGTCTTTCCTGCAAGAGCGCAACCGCAATCTTGGCCATCTCCCTCCCCCAGCATGATCACGCCTGTCTCTCCCCCCCCCCCCCCCCCCCCCCCTCCCCCCCCAGGGGGCCGGGGGGAAAGGGCCAAAATCGGGTCCGGGGGGGGGGGGGGGGGGGGGGGGGGATGGCCATGCTTGTACTCAGGATGCGGGGGGGCGGGGGGGGAGATGGCCGTGATCTTCGTTGTTCTTTGCCACTTTTTTTTTAATCAGAAAAATGTAAAGCAAAGTTACAGAATGCATTAACCTTATTTATACTGTGAACCTTATGGGGAAATTTAACTTGGCTCACGACCAATTTGGGTCATGACCAGAGTCCTGGAATGGATTGAGTTCATGAGCCAAGGTACCACTGTACAATCCCTCTCCTATTGAGTAATAAGTGGAGGGGTTTAACATCTAACATCAATGTGACATTCTTTTGTATCTTACCTTCTTACCTTTCAAAATCGCTGCACCAGCACCACACCACCATACCCAGCACCTACCTCCTATATGCCAGAGTTTGTCCTCCAAAAACTTCACCAATTCCACACTGCTGCCTGCTTGCCCTCCAGCTCCTATCAGCCTGAAGGCAAGCAGTATTCACTTTCCTTTTCTCAAGAAATCAAAAGGCTACCACCATCAATTCCACTAACCCTTCTCCCTGGGCTATAAATGTTGGTGGAAGTGCGCATGTCACTATTTCTACAATCCTGGCCACCAGTGCTGCAGTTTTAGACAGTGGGAAATTTTAAAAGTGGGGAAGAGAGGCTGACACATAAACTCCAGGCATGAGCAAGTTAGTCCCTTTGTCCTAACAATGGCACTGCTTCCTACAAGGGAAATCCAGTACTTTGTTTTAGAATGCTGGAGAATCTACTCTAAAGATCCCAACAGGTCTTATGTTTGATAAAATAAAGAATCCTGAAGACGGTAATATGCAAGAAATATGCACTGGAAACACTAAGCTTACTGAATCTTAAAAACTAATCTGTGGACTGAGATAAATTCTGTGCACCTCACTATAGTAGCTTCTGTAAATGCCATTTGATGCTGCCCTATGTATTTAAAAAGGAGGAGAGTGGCTTTTATCTACTTACATATCTTGACTTCACTATTTAAAAGTCAGCATTTACAAGAAGGTCTTACCAACACAATTGCTTAGAACTTTCAATAAAGGATACTGTATGCTATTTCCAAGGAATAGTTTCCAGCTGGCAGAGTGGGATGTAAGTTATCCTGCCTCTCTATAAGGCGATATAACTTACGAAATGTAGGCAATGCTGCAGTACGCATCCACACAATAAAGTCTTCATTGATGAAGCCATTGTTATCTGCATCTGAATCTAGCATATACACTGGTTTCCGCCAGTTGACCGGCTTTGATGTGCCTTTAAAAACAACAGCAATATCTATGGTTATCATTCGTTTTACAAAGCATATGCATGTGCGTGCATGCATGTGTGTATGCACACGCTTGGGGAGAGCTGTTACTCCATGACATGTCTCATCCCACCAACTCAGTGTAGATTATTATTTATTTCAATCTACTTCTAGGCTGCTCCATAGCCCAAGTGTACTCTGGGCAGCTTAGAAAGGCTGATATCAGCATATAAATAAAATCAATAAAACAGATAAAAACAATAAAATTAGTAAATTGCTAAAGAATATGACATAAAATATATAAAACTATACACAACATAACCAAATACAAGCAGATAATAACCAAAATTAAATAATCAATAACAAAATACAAGTTAAATTAAACAAAAGCTTGTTTGAACAAAAACGATTTTGCCTGGCATCTAAAAGAGAGTAAAGTCGACACCAGTGGTCTTTCCCTGGGAAGCAAGTTCCAGAATCTGGGCACCACTATGGAAAATGCCCCCCTCCTAGCCCTTTCCCCTTTGATCTTACAGGGCAGGGCGGGTATTCAAAAGAGGAGTTCAGATCTAAGTGGGCAGGAAGATATCTATGGAGAGAGGTGCTCCCTCAGGTACCTTTGTCTCAAAGTGTTTAGGGCTTTATATGTCAAAGACAACACTTTGAATTGGACCCAGACTGGAACAGGGAGCCAATAACAGCTGATGGACTATTGGCATAAAATGTTCTCACCAGCTGGTCCTCTAGCAGCTGCACTGCCCAATTCTGTATTATTTGTAGTGCCTATTTTCAAAGGTGGCCTCACATATAGCACATTACTGTAATCCAGCTGAGGGGTTGTGATTATCTTCACAATACAGCAATAGCTTTAAGGATAACAACTGAAAGAATTCAATGAATATTTTTATATTTTTATTTATTTATTTAAACATTTTTATGCCGCCCCATTCGCCGAAGCCTCGGGGCAGCTTACAACACTAGATAAAACAATAAGTTAAAATATCCATATAAAATGATCATAATTTAAAACACACATTATAAAATAAGCCGCCCTGGCCAGATAAAATTCAGTTGTATTAGCATTTAAAATGTTGCTTAAATAAAAAGGTCTTTGCCTGGCGCCGAAAAGCAAATAACGACGGCGCCAGGCGGACCTCTCTGGGGAGCGCATTCCATAACTTAGGCGCCACCGCTGAGAAAGCCCTTCTCCGAGTAGCCACCCTCTTAATTTCTCTCACGGAGGGCTCCCGGAGAAGGGCCTCTCCCGCCTATCTTTGTCTAACTATCCCCTTGATATATTTGGATGCTTTGAAAAAGGAATACAAGGAATGTCAGTCTTGTTTAGTGCTAGTCTCTAACTTTAGACAGCAGAAATGTCCAATCTATTTCATTAGGTAATGCAAAAATAAAAATTCACAGTTGCTGTGAAATAAAAGAAGGTAAAAGTGGGAGGAATAGATATAGTGGCAGCAGAACAGGAGAACTAGTACCAAGCAGTCTGAACCGGGCATTCAAAAAGTCTGGAAAGACTGACTGAAGCACAATCCATAAATAGCCTTGTATATACAAGAACATGAATCTAAACTTGCATACTGTTTTCCCCATCTACTTGTACTCTTCAAGACTGCCTTTTGCTTTCCTTTCAAAACGCACTGAGATTTTTTCCCTTCAAAAAGGTTTAGTTCAACCTTTAGCCATCATTGTAAGAATTATCTTCTTACCTTGAAAAAGTACTGTCAAGTTTTTTGTATCTCCAGTAGGATTCCTGAACTTGACATTTTTGTCTGTCCACCACGCAATACCCTTTTTAGTCAAATGAATAGGTACAGGGTTATTTTCATTAGGTTCAATGCGAAACAATGTCAATGTATCTAGAAGAGAAAAAAGAGAAAGGTAATCCCTTTCAATATTGTTTTCTTGTGAAACTCAGCTGTACTCAAAGGATTAATTGTATCAGCTGTATTTCCACCCCATTCTCAAATTCTGAGTGCAGCTGCCAGATCTATACACATGCATCAAAACACAAAGGCATGGCTATTTTTTTAAAGATACCAAAGAGCAAAAGTCACAGGAGCTCAAGAACAACACTTGGAAACACATACTGTAAGTCTGTCAATCCTCCCTAACCATGCATGGAGCTGCTATGATGTGAAGCCGGGATGCCAGTGCTGCTAAACTCATCCACTAGCGAAAATTTGCCCACCAGCTAGGAACACAGAAAGCTGCCTTTTGCCAAGCTGCCTGAAACCCTTGCTGTTTTGGGTGTAGTGCTGTCAACACTGACTGGCAGCAGCTCTCCAGGGTTTCAGGCAAGAGTCTTTCCTAGATCTACCTGGAGATACTGCAGAACAAGCCAAGGACCACCAACTGTTGTGAAGTGAGAGGTGATTAAACATTGGAGTATTCCAATTGGTCAGGACAAAGAGCTTGGCCACTTCCTGGCACTGCTGGGGAAAACCTGTACAGAGCTCTGTTTAAGGAAGCACTGCAGACTGTTTGGATGTGCTTCTGACAGGAAGGAATGAGGAACCGGACAGAGGTAGCAGACTTCCATCTTATATTTCAATCTGATGAGCTGGAAGTACAGTATGCTGCAGCTTCTTTGACAAACTCTTACCATTGAACATGCTGTTGGCAATGGCGCCACAAGGCGCAATGGGCTTTTCCTCACTGGTACGATAAGGCTCACACTCTTTACTTGGGTTCTGATTGGTTAAAAAGAATGAGAAAAATTCAAGTTTGATTTCTTACAAGTAAAACTAGTCATAAAAAAGTCTACATAATTGATATTGCAACAATTCTTTCTACGTTCATGCTTAGGAAAAAGTTCAAGTTACAGGTTAAAATTATTTGGCAAAAGAGGAAGCAAATATGGTCTACTATGTATAAACCACTTGTGTACAGGTTTATACAGAACAAGAAGAAAAACAGGAAGAATATTGTATTCTCAGCTTGTATTTTCAGTCTGAAAAGTATTCACAAGTTATACAGCAAACAGTGGTTGAATTCTCAACAAATCTGCATTTGCCAGCTGATTAGTAGTAGCTGAAGTAACAATTACAGAGGCAGATGATTGCTTGGATTCAAATAATAATTTGCTTACTGTAATTGACAAAAGAGAACTTTCTTCTAACCAAGTTTCTTCTAATCTAGTTCTTCATTCAAACCATTCTACATGTTTTACATCAGCACTTAAACAGCCATCATGATTGATGTGGCAGAAGGTACAGATGCAAGAGAGATGCAAATTATTTACTTACAAATAAAGAACTATTATCTCCATTTAGCTGGCTATCATCACGAGACTTTACATATCGACGATGGTTTTGATAAAAGTTGGATAGTCCATAATACATGAACACATTGCTCTGCAACACACAAGGTAAGATTTTTTTTCAGAAATATGCACATTCATTTGAAGACCAGGAGGGTTCAGATGAAACAGCAGCTTTATACGTATGCTATGCTGAGCTTGTGGCCAAGGCTGGGGTGCGGGTGGGGAGGTGCACTTTGAACCTCCACATCTTCATGCCATGGGAGCTTTTCCTGCATAATTGGTAACCCTGGAAAAGCAAGCATTAATCTCAATGTAATATATGAACAGGGCTCCAGGCACAAGGAGGAACAGACTGCAACAAACCCACTCATCACGACAAGTGTGAAACTCCGGTTAGCACAGCAAGCTGCCAGCCTTCCTCCAAACTTGGAAGCTGCAGCAGTGGTGGGAGTCACAAAGGGATCTTCTCAGGTACAAAGTTAAGAAGACAGCTGAGGACTGTTTGGCAGCTCCTTGGCCAAGGTGCTCAAAGACTCTTAACTACTCGGAGCCAAGCCAGCACCACTATCACTCACCATCCAACAGACACATGCTTCATGCCCAGCTGTACTCGAAATAAAGAGTGGGTGAACTTGACTTAGGAAAGAGAAGCTGGTGACACAATTTTGCTAATGGTGAAAAACTGTATAAACTGAGGAATAAAAGTGATTCTAGAGGAGACTAAAGGTAAAGGTTTCCCCTTGGCATTAAGTCTAGTCATGCCTGACTCTAGGGGGCGGTGCTCATCTCCGTTTCCTAGCCGAGGGAGCCAGCGTTTGTCCGCAGACAGTCTCCGTGGTCATGTGGCCGGCATGACTAAACACTGAGGTGCACAGAACACTGTTGCCTGCCCACCGAAGTGGTACCTTTTTATCTACTTGCATTTGCATGCTTTTAAACTGCAAGGTTGGCAGGAGCTGGGACAGAGCAACGGAACTCACCCCATTGTGTTCGAACCGGCGACCTTTCAATCTACCAGCCCAGCAGCACAGCGGTTTAAACCACTGCGCCACCTGCAGCCCCAGAGGAGTCTACATGCTACCAAAAAACATTAACTCTTGGCATCCAATAGCATATTTTAACAAAACAGATGCCACCCATCTCTAAAACCCATACACTAATTAAGCTTTAAGATGCTAGATGTTGTTTGTTGCTACGTTTAGCAGTACCCCTGACATCATCAGGCCCAGGCTGAATTACCAGCTAGAACTCTTCCAGTTGGATCTTTTCCCATGGAGCTGTCTGCACTTACTCGTGACCCTTCCTTCACATAATCCTGGGTGAACAACAAAGGAGCTTCATTCAGCTCCATGGTGGCTCCAGAGATGCCAACAGAGGACTGCAAGGGAAGGAAATGGCAGGAGGGAGGAGAATTACCCAATAGTCTATTGGGAGTTTTATGTTGGCTAAAGGGCTCAGATTATGAGGTGGAAGGAAAAGGCACCCCCTCAACTGTTCAGTGGGTTGTCACAATCTCACCAATCTGCCTGCTTTGAGAGACAGCTTTGTACTGACAAACATGCTGACACAGGTAAGCAAATCTCAGCCTTTATGAGTAATTCATAGCAGGAATCATTGTATATGAATCTGCACTTAGTATTTATTCCTTTTTGTAAATTTGTACAGATAGCTATAGTTCTTTTAATTTTATGTCTTTATGTGTTTATTTTGTATGTGTAAGTTTGGTAATATTTAGAAATGTAAACATGTGAAGGAATGTGTTGCTAATGCTAGCCCTAAATATTGAAATTCAAATTTCAATTTTTGCCCCATCTGTTCTCCAGTACAGACCCTGGAACTTTGGACCATCATTACAGGCCACAAATAGCATTCAAGCATCACACAGCCTTTCTGGTGAATTCCCAGTTCTAACCTGGGAATTAAAAAAAATGTTTTACTAAATAAATAAATAAATAAATAAATAAATACATAAATAAATAAATAAATAACCTATCTGTGCAACCAGGGTTTGTTTATTACTTTTGATTTTTAAAGTAGTACCAAAATTCATTTAACTAAATCCTTGACACTAGCTCATGCTTTCATGTTTGGGCCTCTGTTCACAAACAAATATTTATTTCAAACTTAATTAAGTGTATTTTAAGGTGCCAGAGAAACAAGTCATAGAATCAGTAGCTTAACTAATTAGTTTAGCTATTAGAATTAACTAAGAGGCTAATTCAGAATAAAAGGTGTGTAAGCATGATTGATTGATTGATTGATTGAGTCCAATATGAGAAAACTCTAGTGAGAAGCTGTACACTGCACACGAAGCAACACCTGTCTTCATTCTGCTATAGTAACATAAGCACAGAGAGTGTCATACCTCAAATGGCTGCTCCAACGTGAAGTAAATGGTGCAATGGCAAGGTGTGCTGTTCCATGATACATTTAAACACTTATTACAGGGACTGCCTGGTTCTGTTCCAGTATAATCAATCTGCAGAGGAAAAGTGTTGAAAAGCGTTTAAAGAAGGGGTCGGGGAGAAAAGTGATGGCTATAAACACAAGATCAGCAAACCACAATTTATCTGTGTAGCTGATTCACTGCTAATACCAAAGCTCACAACCATGGTAACCAGCAATTTGTCAAATGTGTCTTATGCTTTGAGGGTTAGACAGGCATACAATGCATGGCATGTTAACCTTACAGGTATCTTGAACTTGATGGCAATTCAGAGAGCCATCCCTAAGTTTCCATTTTAGTTCAAGGATATAATTTTATTTTAGCAATCAGGTCCCGCTATTCCTAAGGACTTAAAAGAAGGAAAGGAGCATACAAATGAATTTCATCAAGAAATCGATGTGGCAAATCAGTTCAATGGATTCAGAGTTTAAAAGAGGATTTAGAGTCTTGCAACACATTGTGCAAGTGAAGCTATTTGCTCTAGCCTTCATGATTTTACAGAAACACTTCAGTGCAAAAATGCCTGATTAAGTCCTGGAAGTCAAACAAGTTGGCCAGTCACATGACCATGCTCAGCCTAAGATGGCTATTTCTGGAAAGGTACTTTGAAGCAGCAACTACAACCGTTTTTACTTATGTGAAATCTCAGATATACTGACACAGTGTAGCTGCTTTCTATTTTGTATAGAAATAAAACTTCATTTTTGTTTTGTTATGTGAATAACAGAAGCATTAAGAGAAGGACTTCCTCAGCCCAAGCTTTGGTCAGACTACATACGTCAAAGACACTTAAAGTCATATGCCAGTTAGACACTCCTGATTTTTTTCCCACAACATGGAAACTCATTAAGTTTACAGCTTGGTTTTTTTTATAGTTCCCACAGTATTGAATCAAACCATAATATTTCTGATTGCTTATGCCAAGCAAGGAAAACATAGCTGTGTCCATCATAAGATTACAGTCTTATATGTGTCTCAAAGAAAAGCTGAAAACCTCCTTTTAGCAACAGTACTGGAGCAAACATCTGAGCAGTGACAGATTGATAGATGTGCTTGGTGTCCTTGTGCATTGAAACAAAAGGCCTTATTTTTAGAAAGTGATAGTACAGAGTGTATCAGGAGGACATCAAGTACGCCTCAACCTTGACTTAAGATTTTTTAAACAGTTCACCATATAATTAAAAATGAATGTCTCCTTTAATCAGAGAACAGAATCAAAGATTTGTTGAAAAGTACTATTATTTTACTTTTGCCCCTATTCTGCATCCTATTCCAGAGCTGCTTGATATATTTTTCCGAGAATTAACACATCAAATCTGTCTTGTTTTTTAAAAATATATGTAGGAATTGCAAAGTTAGTCCTTAAAGCTATATCATATTTACAGAATAAACCTGAGACTACAGTTCTACACGGTCTCTCTCAACTTCTGTTTACTGACATGCAGTATAAACCATGACAATGCTTCCTGGTTAAATGCATACTTGTCATAGCAATACTTACATTATATACACATTATAACAACTTATTTGTATCCATTTACTGCTTTTGCATAGTATTCACAGCTTATCAAAGCTCTCAGAATGGTTTACAACAAATTTATTGAAGACTTAGTTAAAATTATGAATTGACTTCAAATATTGCAAGTAATCAAACACCATGAATAAGTCCTGACCACTGTATTTGGACGGACTTCTTTGCAATCGTCATTTTTTTCCAAAACCACAACAGACCAAGTCTGATATTATGAAACACAAGCAGAACTGGCTATGAATTTGCCTATTATATGTATATAGCTAGACGTTTTATGAAGAGCTATACTGAAAATACTTCCTGGTCCATTTTATGCTTGTCTGAAGGTATGGTGCACAGAGTTGATTAAAAATGCAGCAGTGCACATATAAAAGTGCCTAACCATATAAGTGCTCCATGTATCATCAGGCATTACACTTAAGACTACAGCCCTGTGCAGTAGCCCAGACAGCTACAGCAGGGTGCGCATCAGCACAGAAGCATCTAGTCTATGGAACGGTGGCACATGCCGCCCCGAGGCTTTGTTGCACTAGGGGTGGCATAAAAATGTTTTAAATAAATAAATGAATTAATGCTGAATGCACACAAACTGACCACTGGATGCAGCCCATGTAGAGCATATTTCTCCAGTGTGGTGGTGGCCGCCAAATATTTTAGGCTATGACTCACAGGATTCCTGACCTTTGGCCATACTGGTTGGAGCTGCCAAAGTAGAAGTCCAACACACCAGGGGGGCACTAGACTGAAGAAGCTTGCTGTGGAGTGACTACATGGATAAGCTCTCTTCATATGGCTGTTTAACATGCCTAACCAAACTCTTCCACCCAAGGGATTTGATTCAAATTTGGTTTTGCAGTCCATGATAAATAATTATTTCATCCTGCTACACTTGAAATCACACCTGCATCATGCTACACTCCAAAAGAAAACAGAAGCAAGACAAACCTCCAAAGTGCTCTTCCCTAGGCTGAAGGAATCATCCATTTTCTTAGTGATATGCCAAGTCTAGTTTTGAGAATCCTGCTTTCCTTGCCTGAATATTTCTTGCTTTTCAAGTCACCTTCACAATTCTATAATTGGAATCCTTGGTGCCCACCTTATAGGAAAGCTACTTCCCCCCTAAGCTTTATATCATTTCATGGCTCAATACAGACAGGAAAAACTGGAAAATTTCAGAAGCATCAACACACTGGTAGCCAGTGACTTATATTTTCAAAGCCCAATAAGCTACTGAATCTTGATGAAGCCCAAGTAGAAGCTGGTCATTAATTTGTCTGTCACTCATTTAAAACCAAGTGTTTTTGAAGTGCTTTATCAAAAATACTTCCTAGTTCACCTTTTGCTCGTCTGAAAATATGATACAAGCAGAACATGTTACATAGAGTTTGATTCCCCCACATTTTTTAGTCAGGAAATATAATCCCTGAAATGGCCCTTAAATTCTCCTAACTGTATTTCTGATTTTGCTCAGTTTTTTAAATAAAATAAATTCCAAACATTTTGAATGTACAGCATTCAATACAATTCACAAGAAAATCAGATTTCATATATTTGTTATCTGTACCTTGCTTCCAAAGTCCTACCAGATTTTTCCACAAAGATGTTACCTCCTGAACCTGAGTTAGTTCATTCCATCCCCACTGGCCCCTCAAATTCTGGCTTTCCAGCTTTCTACTCTTCCCTGCTCTATTCATTCTCCTTTACCACAAATCCAATATCCAACTCTCCCACTTTGACAACCCACTTCCATTTTGACCTTTTTTTTTTTTTAACTTTCTGTTTCTCTTCCTCCTTTTTTTCAACTCACTTGCAGTACTTCCTGGTAGCTTAACCCACATAGTTCTAGTTCTTTATGGCTGCTGCTTCTACTGCTGTGCTGTTTTTTATATTGTATTTTACCCTTGTAAATGTTTAGTATAAATTTTATTATGATTATTATATTTTTAATCTGCCCAATAATAAATGAAATCTAGAAAGAATTTTGGTGTTATAAGGAGCACAAGGAAATGTCAGAGATATTAGCCACATAGGTTGAAGAACATGATGCATAGTAAAGCAGTAGAAATAAGAAAATACGCGCATTATTGCAAAAATTTCCACATGAAGAAAGGGAGAAACTTGCTGCTTTTCAACCATGGTTGCAAGAATGCTGCCACTCTGATACTAAGGGAGAGCAGTAAAAAAAAAAAGTCTCCATCCCAAAAATTAAAAAAAAAAAACCCCACCAAATTGCAAGTACAACTGTGGAAGCTTTCTTGCTATTATTATATTCTTTCCATGTTGACTTATAATAGAAAACCATTCATACTGCATGTTTACATAGCTGCTGAATGTATTATATGGTGCCATTCAGATGTTTTGGACTGCAACTCCCACCTGACCTAGGCAGTATGCCCTGTGGTCAGGAATGCTGGGAACCACAGTCTAAAACATCTGGTGGACACCATGTTGTGGAAGACTGGTGTATACATTGTTATAAGTTTTATTCATAAATGCAGTTGCAAATTCTAATGCCTACTTTGGAAATGTGGTTTGTTCCGGGGTTCTTTTTCCTGCATTCTGAAAAAGCCTAGCCACTACATCATTTAAGTCAATAACATTTCATAATTAGTAAAAAACTATTCCTAGCAATATGTTCCTTCAAACAACAGCCGTACACCCTTCAGGATCACTTATGTCACTGTTGGTAAATGGAAAACACGCAAACTAGAAGCACCTTCTGCACTGTAACGTAGGAACTCTTACAGCCAAAATTTACATGAGCTATTAAGTAGACTTTGGACTTTTCTCATTCTACAAGAAGTTACTGCAGTGGGCAGCTATTACACCTATCTCACAGTACACTTTGCATGCCAGTCAAACAACTGTGCAATGCAAAACCTACTATGCGAAAGGCCTGATTAATACAGGGCTTGGACACCAGTATCAGTGCTCTATGTACACTTTGCCTTGTTTAATTGCATATATCGAATGCAGTGACCCATCACATTTAGGCTAGGCCATGAACTAACACTGCATGTCAGTAAATCATCCCACGTGATGCACGAGCACGGGTAAAGGCAAACCAGGGCCACGGGAAGGGCGTAAAACCGCCCTCATGTCCCCCAAACACGCCACTGCGCCCCACGAGCCACTGCATTCACCCCGGGCAGCCTTGTCAACGGGGCCTGCGTCATGATCCCCAGCTGCTGAACAGCTGACGAGGTGCTGAAGGACTGGAGTCGTGTGAAACAAGCAAAGGCACGGAAGGTGGGATCCCTCGTTCCCCGCCTCTTGTCCCGCGTTGCCAGGGGACGGTGGGTCTCCCTGCCGCCAGCCCGAGCGTCCCCACCCCCTAAAGATCCCGCGCCATCGCCGCATGTGCCTCCCACGGCCCAGCCCGCTTTCGCCTTTCACCTCGTACTCGCGGATGTTGTTGGAGGTGACGAAGATGCCGATGCCGATGGGGATGAAGATGAGGCCGATGACGAAGAAGGCGGGCAGGACGGTGCCGGCGGTCAGGATGGGCTGCCAGGCCGGCAGGCGCTGCTGCTTGAAGGCCGTGTTGTCGGGCTTGCGGCTCTTGGAGGCGCCCCCGGCCGCCCCGGCGCCCGCGCCCCCGGCCGCCCCGCCGACGCCGCTGCCTCCTGGCATCGACCCGAGGACGCCCGACGGGTGCCCGTCCGCCTCCTCCTTCGCGCTGTAGTTCATCGCCATGGAGCCACCGTCCTGCTGCGGCGTCAACAGCGGAGAAGGGTGACAGGGAAGGAAGCCGGCGAGGGCGAGGAGCACAAGGCGTCAGGAGCTACGGGCGCCGCCGACCCCCCTTCCCTCGCTCTGCCGCTCGCTATAAGAGCGCTTGCGCAGGCACTCCGGCTACCCAAACGCGCAACGCCTCCTCCCAGGCATGTCCACGCCCGCGGCGCCCACATTGCGGCGCCCTGCGCATGCACCGAGCGGTGACGCGCGCCTGCGTAACTACGGACGCTGGCGCCGCTATTGATTCTCGTTCCTGCCCGCCGCGAGAGGGTTTGAAAAACCAACCGGAGGAGGCTCCGCAGTCGAACGGCAGAATGGAGCGAGAGGCGCGCATGCGCCAAAGGAAGGCGTACCGGCTCAGTAACTATCGGGCGGGAGGGAGATGCGCAAACTTGTTATGGGCGACGTAACCGGGCAGGAGAGCGCCGGGAGGTTTCGCACATGCGCGGTTAGAACAACTCGGCACCGGCTCAGGCACATTTAATTATCCTCATTTCTAAAAAGCAGGTTAGTTTTTTTTATACGTATTTGTTTTATGTGTTAATGTTTTATTATTTATTCATTTGATCTTTATTATCTTACTTATTATTACGTTTATTTTAATTGACTACAATTGTACTTGTAGTACTTTCTTATCTAGTATTGTAGTACTTTCTTATTAACACGAGATCAGCCCTGTTGGCTAAGGATAATGGGATGTGTACTTCCACTCATTTGAAAGGAATCCGGTTTCTTTATTAATTAGTAGCAATATGTATATACTGTTTCTCATCCTCCACTAATTTGTCAAACCCTTCTAAAGCTGTCCAAGTTGATGCCCATTACTACTTCTTGTGGAAGTGAACTCCATAATTTAAATAGGTGCTGCATGAATCAGTACTTCGATTTCTCAGTGCTGAATCTCCCCCCAGTCAGCTTCATGGGTTAACCCCAGTTATCTCCACATCATACATGATTATATATATCTTTGTTGTTTTTCCTCTTACCAGTCTCCAAAGCTAAAAAATCCCAAATGTTGTAACTTTTCCCCATAGGAGAGTTTCTCCTACTCCATGATCTTTTTCGTTGCTCTTTTCTGAAGCTTCCAGCTCTGCAGTATCTCTTTTAGGTGCAATGGCCTGAATTGTACACTGTATTCCAAGCACAGTCAAGTATAATTGGGCAAGAAAGCATTAGACTGTTGGCAGGTGTCAAAAGGAAGCTGAAACCACATGCTGAACTGAGCACTTTCAGAAGATCTGAGGGAGGAGTTCAATATTTTGGGCAGAGGGGGGCTAGGTTTTGGCCGGCCTGGAGGCAGCTGTTTTGGTGGGTTCAAGGGGTTGCAACCTGTTTACCTGAGCAGTGGTTGGGATCTTGCAGCTCATGGGTGGCCTATGGCTTAATTCTGTACACGCTGCTATATTCTTTGAAGTATATGGGTCATTGCCTAATTCTGTCTTACTCTCCCTGCAGACAGTGGAAGCCTGCACTGCTCAGGTGATGGCTGCCTGAGGGGCAGGAAACAGAGAGCAGAGGAAGTATGCATTTCTAAGAGAAGAGAGAAAGAGGAAGAATCCTTGTCCATTATTATCTTTTAAATCAAGGTTTACAGGTGAAGCAAGACAAGCAGGTTGGACAGAAGCAGGTTGTCTAAAACTAAAAAAAAAATCATTTTTACATTTAAATCATGGATACAAAATATTTCATTTTTTATAGTTACACTTACATGCCATCATAAATATGCTAATTTTTATGTGTCCCATATGTTACATGCATAGTAATAGACACTAAAAGGCTGAGCATAGATTGTCATTGAAACATGGATTATTGTGTTGTCTGAACATAGCCAAGATAACAAAACACAGGTTCTCCTGGGTTGTTTGGTGTACTGCTGAATTCAGACAGCATGATTTCCCACATATAAACAGTCTGTGCTTCAGTGACAGTGCACACTCAGCCCTTGAATGTGGGTCATCATGTTGTCTGAAACCTGCCATTCCATTGCCTCCCTATCAAACAGGCATTCATTTCAGGTTTTCATCCCATTAAACTGGCTTTGTCCAGCCGAATTATCATCTGTTGCTTCTTGAATGTTCTGAGCTTCTGGTTTCTGTTTCTTTGGCTAAACTCACCATGTTCAAATTGTAGGCTGGATCGGATTATTAGCTTAAAACAAGACCCAGCACATTGGAGTGCAGCCTGCTTCGGAGGAGCTTGACCTGTATTGCAAACCCACCCTGCCCTCAGCTATGGGCAGTATAGAAATGAAAGCAAGCAAGCAAGCATCACATTTTCTTCTTTTGTGGCAATTCATGGTTTAGGGTCAAAAAGAAAGCTAGCACATCACTTTACAAAACTTTCCCTAGATACAGATCACACAGATACAGCCAAGGTGTATAGAAATGTGAGCTTGAGTGAAATCGGAGAGGTAATGTGACTATTAGAATAGCTAGAATAATGTGACATCCTGAGAGTCTAGAAGGTTCCAGCTGACAGATATCTCCTGAAGCCATTGACGTTACTTGGGTATGTGAGAGTTATTGCTTACAAGTTGAGGGTCATTTTATATACCTAACATAGGACAAATACTAAAAAAACACCCCAAAGTATCAACCTCGTCTTATATGTGATTTGCCTTATATACCAGTATATACAGCATGAATATTTGCACAATACCCAAAGAGAAACATTCCAATAGAAGTGAGAAGCATTCTCTCTTGATGAAAATAAACTGCTTTAGTATGCCCAGTGGTTATCAAATCTTGCTTTCATCAGACATTCATGGACATTTCATTTTTGTTGGTGTTTTTTTTAACAAGCTGCTTGCTTGGGTCAAAAAGTGAAGCAGAAAGTAGCAATGCTGGAAGGATTCACTGTGCATCTTCCTTTATTCCCCTACTTCAGTTGCAGTCCTAGAACCACATTCATGGGGGTACAATGGGAGTAACCCCAATTATAGTCAATGGAATTTATTTCTAAGGAGCCATCTATAGGATTGCAATGTTAACCTCAAAGTGTCCTAAGATGGTGTCATAACTTCAAAGTACTTGTCGTAAGAAAAGTCCTAGCCAGGTATATTTAAAAGACATTGGGCTGGCTTACATGATCCTGGATTCAACTTCTGACTTGTCAGAAGAGAGGTAAACCAGAGTTCTGGGTTCAGACATTGCAGAGGGACAAAGCAAAGGTTGCTGTGTTGTGTGAACCAGGGCATTTCCTTTATAGGTGAAAAAAAGGAACCATGCACAATAGAGATAAAAAGTGAGACAAAAAGCTAAAAAGCCTGTTCGTATGTGTAAATAATACTCTTATTGAATCGTAAATTAACATGGTTTATGGGTTATTTGCATCACTGTTCAGGAAATAGCGAGTATTTTTTCCTCTTTAAATCAATCTAGGCAAAGAACAAAGAAAGCATTTCTAGACAAATTTTTACATTCCATCCTATTTGTAAGATAAGCTTTATACATGCCTCATATGAATCTGACTGTAAGAAATGTGCTACAAACCTAAACAATTCAGACAAACTTCATTGGAAATTAGCATTTTGTATTGATGATGTAAGCTTAATTATGTTAACCGTGTTTGTGTGTCACTGTGTGATCATATCTTCATAAATGACGGCTGATTCCAACAAGATCTGGATCTTCCATGTTACATATAATGCAGTGCTCGTAAATGCCACTGACCAAGGATAAGGCAGGTGGCAGTTCCATTGATGACATGCACAGTATGACGACAGTGCACCCATATTGGTTGTGAAATAGGCATGCATTGGGTGTGTCCTTGTTAAAGCGCTGTTTAGATGCACCTGGGGCATAGGCAGTTCAAGGCAATTTTACATTGGTCAAAAGGAAAGTTGCTGTAGTGGCTGCCTGTGGGCTGAGCAGGCCAACTTGGATGTTTTGTTCATTTGAAAAAAGAATGGTGGGCCAAAAGGAGACTGCATAAAACCATTTGTTGGGCAGGGTGGCAATATGGAATAGGTATAGAGCAGGGGATGGCAGAGGATGAGGTGGCTGGAGTCACTGAAGCAGTTGGTGTGAGCTTGGGTGGACTCTGGGGGATGGTGGAGGACAGGAAGGCCTGGAGGACTGTTGTCCATGGGGTTGCGATGGGTCAGACGCAACTTCACAACTAGCAACAACAAGGGTGGCAGACTTCAGGCTTGTGGCATTTGGTTCTCTTTCCTACTCAAGCCCCAAGATCTGGCACCTGGGTCCATATATATACATAAACTTCATGCAGACAAGCTAATCTGGAATAGGCTAAACGTTAGAGCGGAGAGAGCACTCCAGCCGACACATCATGTGTTATGGCATCTCCTCATGGAGGGTGACTTTGTGACAAAGAGAGCCTCCCGTTCCTCTGGAAGCTTCCCACATGATCCGGAGCACTGGAAAATCAGTGCTCCACTCATGTGGAGCCTCCATCAATACAAGGGGCCCACCTCCAAAGAAAGGCATCCTCTGTATACAGAGTGACTAATGCAATGATAGTGGGGGCAGGACTGGCTTGCTCCCTCTCCTTGTATGTTGATTACACCCACTACACGAACTCCTAGCCCAGGAATTAGCTTTGTGTACCCCAACTGAATGGCACTCAGTCCTTCGGTATTAAAAAAAATCTACTTCTGGTTACCCTTCTTCATTGCAGCAGTATAGTTGGGGCTGGTGGAGGGGAGGTTATTTTATTGTTGCAATTGTTATGCAATTGGGAGCCAGAAGTCTTTGTTAATCTGTCATTACATGTTTGGAAATCACCCAGTATTCCACATCTCTTTTCTCTTCATTGTTGACATAAGCTAGCTGCTGCTGCAGAAATGAAAAAGGATTACTGGAATGTAAGTGAGGATACACACAAACAAGTTTATGTTTTTAATACTCAGTATTTGAAAAGTAACAGAAATTACAAACAGCTCTATGTGCAAGCCCTACATAAAACAAAACACTGTCACCTTCTGAGATCTCCGCAAAACCTGAGGCAGACATTTCAAGTCTACTTGGATTTTTCCTTATTCCTAGGAAGTTAAATTTACTACACCTTGGCTGACATCCCCCTTACATATTAACAAGGCTCATTGGGAAATAAGTGACCCGAATTTCACTGGAATTTACTTCCGCATATGCAACCAATGGGCCACTTCACATAGTATTAAAAAAGAAAAAAATAAATGTATACACCTAACAATGTAAAATGTTGATCAACTAAGTTGCATATCATTCAGGTACACCCAAGTAGCAAATTGAGATTTGTTTCAGCCCTTTGTTGCATGTACAGTTGATTGCAATCCCAGGTTTGCTGCTTTATAACATGTAAAATAATCTCCTTGACACTGGAGAACTTCATTGTTGGTGATTTCTTGGATTCGGTGCTGCCTTTCTTAACCTGTGGAACACAGTCTAGCTGAACTTCTGTCACTGCAGTTTTCAGTAACCTCCCCACATTTTGAAGGGATTTAACCCTCTTGACTCCTGCTTCTTTTCAACTTCTTTTTAACAGACCCTTCATTTTAGAGAAGGTTCCTCTTCTGAATCAAATGTGCCTGCCTTGGCCTTCCTCAGTAATTCTCCTTGGAAATTTTAATATATATTACATCTGATAGCACAGTAGTAATTGTTTCCAGTTGGTTCAAGAACATTTACATCTTTTACTAGGTTCTGAATAACACCATACAATTAAAATTCCCCTGAGTTGGTTCCATGATCTGCTGTTTTGGGGCACAGTTATTTAGAACACTGAGAAAACTGTGGTCTTTTTCATGACTGGAACTTGTACTTCTACAATCAGTCTTGGGGTAGAGTCACCCCTTATTAAAACACTTCCTGATTTGGAGGCCTCCCTAATTTCATTTTCTGTCTCAAGATTAGCCCAAGCGTTCTGGCCTTGGGGGTGATAGCATGTTCCAAGTATGAAATCAGTTTAGTAAATTTGTACTAAATCCTTTCTTTTTGCTTGTTCAGACAACCCCCTTTCTTCTTTCAGTATTCATTAACAATTCTGTACAACAACGTGCTCCCAAACTTACTCCTACGCTCTTATCATAGCTTCTGTTCTGTGCTGTCAACAGCTGTCCTTTCCTACCCTCATTCACATCAAAAATCCTCAAGTTTCACCTGTTTCTTCTCCATTACCTATACAACATAAGGTTCCCCAGTGGCAGTACCAATTAGCAAGGGAAGGGTTGATGAGTCACTAATATGGACTAAGCCAACTGCACTATTCTTGCTAGTCTCTGGAATAGCAATAATCAGCACATGATGACACAGTTTCTCCCTTTTTGTGAGCACCAGATGAACTTTACAGCTTCAGTGCATCTTTCGCTTGCCAAGTATATCTATCAATATGCTATCCAGAAGTCCCTTTACAAGATTTACATGCTCTGCAAAGTGTGGTGCAAAATGTTCGGCTTCTTCTACCCAACGTTCAGCTACTTTTATTAACACTTCCCTCATCACATCTATGTCCGATTCAAAACTATACAGCACCCTAGAATGCCTGTAAATCTGGGGACAATTTGAAAGCAACACAATTTTTGGAAGTAGTTTCATGATGTAGGGATTTACATTTCATTGAAAAAGCCTTAAAAAAAGAAGAATCCATTTTTAGTAAATTGCAGCTGCCATAACATTCTCAAAGGAATCCCCAGAGTGCTCCATCAGGACTGTTGACTCAAACACTGCTAATTTTGCAATCCTAGAATATGTAGTGCTGAAGTATAGAGGAGTAAGAACTAAAATGTCTAGTGTTTAAATTCTTCACAAACACCCTCATGAAATCACATCTGCGCTAAGTAAACGTACAACAAAGCTGAGACTGATAAGTACAGCAGATATTTTCCCATTTTCCACACTGGAAATTTCTATGTTAATATGCTTTGAATGATGACACACAAATAAATATGTACTGGAGCCTTGAGGGCTGGGCATGCTGTTCAGACACTTTCTTACTACAGCCCCTTTCCTCTTCCCCAAAGATTCAAGGCTGAGCAACCTGAAGGAGAAATGGATAGATCACTCCTGTACATGCAGAAACAGCTTAGGTCCCTGCATAGAGCTCTTTTGTTACCAGCCGCTAGCGCCAAATCTGATACCATGTTCTGAATCTGAAATCTCCACCATGGACAAGCAAGGGTAGTGTGTGTGTCTCCAAATTGTGTTCGTCAGATTCAGTATGTCACAGCAGCCAGCCATGAAACAATTGGCTGATGGTTTGCAGCCTAAACCTATTTTAAGCATGCCCAAGACCAGCAAAATCAAAAGGTTTTGGTACAGGGAACGGCATAGAACTTAACTGTTAATCTCTTAACCAAATCAGTATTTAGCTCACAAGTGTCCAGTCCATGACAGCATAAACAGCTTTTTCTAATATGCAGGTTACAATTGGGACACCATTTTACTGTAGCACACTTGTGAAAATTTATTTGTTACTGTGTGATAAAAAGGAACCTTTTGGTACAGGTATATATAAAAGCACACATTATATGAGCACAGCTTAATAGGCACCAGCATACAACAATTAAAACCGGTTCTTAAATCCAATACAGTTTCAAGGTTTTGGTTTGTTGGTATTCAGTTTTATGTTAAACCACAGCACAGTGCAAAAAACCCTGTAATACTATCCTCACAAAGCAGTCTTCAGGGCAGTTAATCTCAATCACATTATGGCTGGGAAATTCTGTGGCAAGTTTTCTTTAAAGGTGCCATTATTGAGGTCAAGTCAACATCCTTATAAACTCCAACAGAGAATATACAAACTGGCACTTTCAAAGCTTGACAGTGTATTCCACAAATGAATGTGCCACGGGCAACAAAAACTGATTTGGCAAAGAGGTCCTGCATTATAAAACGTATTATAAAAATAAATTATGTGGGAAACACCAAACAAAAATCAAAAATGTGCCAACCGATTCAAAGACTTTGCAAAATTGGCACAGAAGATGCAGTTCCCCCTTTTCATCTAGTTTTAAAATAATCAGCAAACACATTTCTTTTTTAAAAATCTACACAAAACATCTAGATTCCAGCGGAAGTAGTAAGATACTTCTATAAGTGATCAGTAGCATGGGAGATCACAGTGTTGTGGGTGTAGCTTCGGCAGTGATCCAACCAAGTGGTGTAAAGGAGTGCACACTTATCATACAGAGTTGGCATGGCATCTCATCTCGCGTTCATGCGTAACTGATGAATGATGATGCTCTCTAAAGGAAAGAAAGAAACACAGCAAAACAATGACTGTTACCATGGTGAAACGTGAAAGGCTATGAGGACCCGTACTGTTAATGCTTTAATCCCATCAGTAACCTAGCTACATTACAGAAAGTGTCTCAAAGTGCCACTTCAAATAAGTCAGGGCAGAACTACCCATGTCAAGATGGACGAAGGAGAAATAAGAGCCTGGAGAATTAATGAGGATAGTCTATCTCCATCTTCAGAGCACATTGTATCATATATAAATAGAGGGGCCCTAATCCTGTTCACTCATGTACAGAGAATTTCAATAAGATACAGGAGATTTCCATCTTCTACCACCTCAGCACACAACACACTGAGGGAACCATTGCGGGTGAATGGGAAATCTACACATGCCTCCTATATCCCTAGCCATTCCAGCTCTCTGCTGTGTGGATAACTTGTACTTATGACAGAGACCTCCCATTTCCCAGTGCCCTTCGTGCAGCTAGGCAATGGATGAGGGAAGGGCAACAACTGAAGCTGACTGGGATCCCCTACTCACAGCAACACAGGCACAGTGAACTGGATTGGAAATGAATGTAATTTCAGTATAACGCATAGCGTGCCATTTTATTTCCATGCAAATTTTCTTCAAAATCTAATTCTCATAGTAATTTCTTATAGTAAAATGAAATTCTTTGTATTGTGGACTGTCTTGAAACTAGGAATGATTTAAAGCATGGCATGTTCTTTGCTATTAGTCATTCTGTTGTTTTCAACTCAAAATGTCAATTCATGCCAGGTTACACATTCAACATCCACTCTATCAGGAATCCTCCTCTGCCTTCAGTCAGAGGCTAATATTAACTTTGTATCTATAACTATATAAATTAACTCTCCCTTTCTAAAATGCATTTTTCAAAAGGACAAAAAATCATCCCTATCATAAAAGGGTAGTTCTTTTAACATTTTATTTACTACATATCTAATTTTCCCAGTATGCCTTCACTGTGTTATAACCTCACCATTAGTACAAATGACCAACAACAAAATGTCCGATAATAAACATTTCTAGCAATTTGGTTTATTGATCTTGTTTGGAATTGCGTAGTACCCAGTATATATTTTTATAGGGTTAGATCTAGACAAAGTTAGTTGTTTGTTAGGTCTCACTGAAATTAAAGTGGGAATTAGTCAGGACTGTTATGTCCGACTTAGCTCATTAGGAATTGTGCAACTAACTTACAGTGCAATCCTATACAAATACAGTATCTATTCTTAAGTAAGTCTTATTGGGTTCAGTGGTGCTTACTCTAAGCTAGATGGGTATAAGGTTGTGGTTTAGCCTATTTCTCTGAATAATGAATCAGAAACATGAGTCTAATCTTTCTTATAGCTCTAAATGGCAGCCTGTAGTATTTAAAGTATTGAATCCAAAACTGCCCATACTCCAGTGGAATGAACACATGCTCCTAACATCTGCTCCAGGTAGCTGGGGAATCCTCCAGAGCAGATTTGGGTGGTGTGGAGAGGGATGGGTTGCAAAAGAGTAGAAGAGCAGGGGAAATCCATTTGTTAAAAGTTGGCGAAATGTAACTGTCCATATAAAATCTTGCAACTATATAATGATATTGTATAAAGGTACCTCATAATGTTGACAAATCAGAATTATATTTTCAAAGACATCTAGGTATCTTACCGGTAATTTTCCTTATGTTTGTTTTGTTTTATTTCTGTACTGCCTACTTTCTGAAGCTCTGACAACTGTTTACAGAAGCATTTTAGCATTTTAAAAGAGTCTAGTTCAATTATATTAGCCACATATATATTCACCATAGAGGCATCTCTCCTTCCATCTGAAGGTACATTTAACTAATTGCACAGAAGATTGTAACAGAAATTTAATGCTTCAAATAATGACCAAGTTCCCAACATACTTAAGCTATACATTTTCCTCTATAGAGTAGAGCACCCCATGTGGCTACCCAGTAGGGATATTCAGGCAGGCATAGCAAGTTGCAATCCTAAATGTACTTCTTGGCCCAATCTTGGGGAATTAAGCCCAATAAGCCCATCTGAACAGACATGCATAAGATTGGGTGATATACCCATGTGTACCTACCCGGAGCCTGAGGTCATCTTCAGGGGTCCTTCTCTGGGAGCCCGCCCCCAAAGGAAGTGAAGCAGGTGGCTTCCAGGAGGAGGGCCTTCTCAGTTGTGGCACCCTCAGTTGTTTTGAAATGAGCTCTCCAAAGAGCTATGCCTGACACCTACTTTGTATTCTTTTTGGTGCCAGGTGACGACCATTTTATTTGCCCAGTATTTTGACAGTTTAATTTTCTAACTCAATTTTAATGTATTCCACTTTTTTCTGTACCACTTCAATGCTGAATCATAGCAATTGTTTTTTGCTATTATGGTTTTATTCTTTTAAAATTAATGTTTGTGTATGTTTTTTAACATTTAACTTTTGTTTGCCCAGAGAGTCTCAGCTATTGGGCAGTATAACAATGAAATGAGAAAGAAAGAAAGAAAGAGAGAGAGAGAGAGAGAGAGAGAGAGAAAGAGAGAAAGAAAGAAAGAAAAGAAATGAAATCAAAGTTCTCCAGAGTTGTAAAGTATCCAAGCTTTAAAAATAAGTAATCCTATCTATTTCTCTTTTACAAATAGTTATTTTTGTACTAAACATTCCCAGAACAACAGCTTTACAATCTGTTATTGATCATAATCAGGTTGGTTATGTTCAGACTCCGCTTCCAGTTTAATTTGAAGAATTCATAAAATTAATTTTGGAGTTGTGCAAATGTACAGTAGTTTGTATATTCTGCTGCTTTTTAATCAAATATCCAGTGTACAAGCTCTCCATTGGATCACATTTTAAAATGTAGCTGTTCTAGAAGATTTCCACTAGATGGCACTACTTGAACTTGCCTCAAAAAAACAGTTGCTCTCTATAAAATACTTGGAAATATGATCCACTGAAATTCATAGGGATTACTGCCAGGTCACCATTTCTGAGTACTTTGGAAGGGAAAACTGTGGTTTATATATCTACACTTTCTCTTCATAACTGATAAAACAGCATGGCCCTGGCACATGACTGTTTTTCAAGTACCGTAAATCACAGTAATGATCATCATAAATCACCCTGAGCATTTTGTACAAAGTCTAAGTACAATTAGTTTGGCTTAACTATATTTCAACATTTTAAAATTAACTTTCATTTTACAACTCAGATTATTATGTGCATGCCCAAGGTGCTAACTTTTTATGACTGTGACAAAAATGCATACACAGTTCTGCAGTGCCATCTAACTACTTTTTAAAAAAACCGTAGAATAACCTTGATGGACTCTTTAATTGGGTGTGTGCCTTTCAGAACATCTCAAATGAAATGCAAATGCATTTTGCTTGGGTTTGTACTTTTCAGTTGCAATCCTATACGTGTTTAGACAGGAAAAAAATCCTACCTTTCCCAGCATCTCCCAATATTGGCTGGGAATACTGGCATCTTCTGACTAAAAATGCATAGGACTGTGCCCTTAACTGATAACTCTTATTTGTCACCCCCCCACACACACATACACACACTGAACCTAGAACACAGTAAGTAATTTTAAAATGAAAACAGCTTTTTCTAATTACAAAACATTAGCTGGAGTTCTTATGAAATCTCAGTCAAGATGAAGGAGATTACGCTAATTTGAGAAAGTAAAGCATGACTCTCAATGAAAATAAGCCCAAAAATGATCTCACTGCCAGCAAATGCCAGTTTCAATCAGCCTCAGAAATATCAGCAGCTGATATGCAATAAAAGCACTTCAGAGATCTGTAAAAGCGCTCTTACAGTAGTAGCTTGTGCTATAAGCCAGTTAAAACATAGGAGTGTGTTAGCATAAAGTGTTTTACAATGCAAATGTGACAGATTTGTAATCAACATGAGCCCAGCCCCATATTAAACTTGAGAGGGTACCTAAGCAGATAAGCATTCTGTTTAGTCCATCACTGATAGTCATCTTGAGAACCTCACGTGATTTCGGCCCTCCTGGTATATTATATGAAACAACAGGAGCTGCATTGACCCAGAGGCTACTGCAGCAGCAACGCTATGAATTCCTGGGTCACTCACTGGATGAATCACATCAGTGGCTAGAATACAGAGCCCACCAAGTTTTTGCTCATGTTTTTGATCATGAGGGCCGGCTTATGTAACCCTGAAAGCTGGCAAAGGGTTTGGCAGTCAAATGATGCTGTCTGTGATTGCATGCTTAGTTACCCCCCCCCCCCTTAGTTACCTCATGTAGGGAAACCTTACTCCAAATCAAATTACACAATCCTTCCCCCTTCGGGGAAGTCGGGGAGGATCTTGCTTTTATATGCACAGTGCTCCCATTGGCTATGCAAGATTCCACCTTAGCAGTCCATGCCTGGGGGGAATTAGTGATGCCACAGAAAAATGGCCGTCAACTTCTCCACATGAAATTGTCCATCTACAGGCAAAGAATAATCGGGTGCTTTATCATCATTGTCCTTGCCCATTAAAAGCCAGCTCCTGTATTTTGGCACAGTGCACCCAGCAGTCAGAACCGAAGAGCGGGCCTACAGACAGAGGGAAACAGCCTTGAAGGGAAACACAATTAGTCACTTATCCAGGTAACACATCACAAATGCTCTCTTCTCCTTTGTCCAATGTAAGTGAATGGCTGCCATTTGCTCCTGCAGAGATAGTAAAGTGGTGCACTTGCTGATAGCGTTGTAGGAAGGATGGCTGACCTCCACCTTCCCCCATGGCACTGTGGGGGCTTATGTGGGGGCTGTGGGGGCTCACTGAATGAGTGCCCCATGGGATGTGAGGGGTCTGTGCACACTGCACTTTGCTTCAGTGTGGCTGCAATATACAAGCCACGCACACCCCACACATGAGGGGCACTTTGGTAACCCTATATGTTAAAGGCAGTTTTTGGATGCTATGTTTCTCACTTTCTCTACCACAACCCAGAAACAAAAATGGAAGGAAGACACAGCGACAGAAGTGAACTATGTTCATTCATGTCCTATTTGTCACATTTTTTAAATTACATTTTATTATTTACTGCATTCAGAGAACCTGTTATTCTCTTGGCTTCATTCCATACCGGAAGGGTAAGCTTGTGCAAGCAAAGGCAAGAAAAAGCAGCTCTTGCAGGTGCTAATTCTACCACAGCCTTACCACAAAAGGAGTAACAAGGAAGCATTGTGCAGCTAGGTGTTGTGTGGCATTGAGTGTGCATGTGAGAAAGAGAATGAACACACTGGAGTAGCTGAAGATGTCCCTGGAAGAAAGAGAAAAGGAGTAGGGCAACTAAGTGAGAATGAGTCACTGTGTAATACGGCTGGGAAAAAACAATATGCAGAAAATTACAGCACTTAGTAATTAACTACCCGGATTCTGGCACGCATGGTGCTGCGTTAATTGTTCCTTCAAATGCTCCCTGGCTGTGTATAAGGAATTATTTTGATGGAGCAGCAGAAGCAACTTTCTTCTCCCTGCTACTGCAGCACTAGCTTAATCGTTTGGTTAAAAGGAACATGCTTGTTCAAGCCAGTTCTACAAATTTAGATTGAGTCAATTTCCCTGTCACTGTTAACTTCAGACTCTTGCATGCTTCACCCCTGTAAATATTCACAATTGTAGAGCATTAGGCATTCAGTATTATTAAACCTTGAGCTTCACATGAAAATATTTTCTTGGAACTTCTGCTAAAACAGCTGTGAAAATAGCTAGAAATAAGGAATGATTTAGTTGTCCATCAATGTCAAAATGAAACATAGAGTATCAAAGTGAAACATTACTGGAATCCATCAGCTCCTGTGAAGGCACGTCCTACTTACTGTTTACTGCCAATTCTCTGCAAAAGCTTTATTATGCCTTTAGAAATGGAAATCCTAACCACCAATATTTGCTATAAACCTTATATGAAAATACAATGGTCATATCCTATATTAGTCTAATTTAGGTCTCATTCATTTCAGTGGGTCTATTCTAAGTAGGCCTAACACCAATACAACCAAGTGTTATGATTCATTACTTCCAGCTGAATTATAACAAGCCCTTTAGTAAACTGAAATAGCAATAGATTCATGCAACACCTTCAAAGACCCACCATCTTATTGTGGGTTGGACATTTGGGGGATGGAGCACAATTTGATCAAGTAGGCTCTCACCCTCAAAAGTTTATGCCGGGGTTAAAGGTGCCATATGGTTTCTTACCGTTTTTGCTACAACAGTTCAGGACAGCTACTCATCTGAGATTTGCATACTAACTGAAAACTACAGTCCAGAAGCACTGTAGTGAAGAGAAAGACCTGCCTCTCTTCCATGAGACTTTCTGTGGCAATACTTGTGCCTATTATTATATATTAGTATATATAAATATATAATTTTGGCTATGATGCGTTCATTCAGTCATATGCTACGTCCAACCAGTGATGGGTGGTTGCATTTCTTTTATAAACTCTTTTCTACAGCTCCATCTAAACCACCAAATCTGTTTGTTGCAGATTTCTAATACACTTTCCTAATGGAGAAACTCACTCACTGTTTTAGCTATTTTGCTTTTTGTGCCACTCAGTGCATACACGTTCTTACTGCTACTGTGCATAATTTCCCTTCCTTCAAGAATGGGGTCAGTATCGACCAAAGAAATTCACTCTGGCAAAGACGGTGCATGTCAAGTCACTTCTGCTAGAGGCAGGAATTTTGTTTTTAGTCATGCTTCTGTCAGTGAAAATGCTCATAACAGCATTGGCTCTGTTAGTTAAACATGATTATAATAGCAGTCAATCATATGCACACCAATTTCTTAAAACATGCTTTTGAAATTAAAAGCAAGGTAGTTCAAGAATTCCAGTATCAGGCAGTAGACAATAATTAGTTGATAACTCTAGACCCAGACCTTGCCTTGGAAGAGAGATGCAGGTTCACTGCATAGTTAGCATACACCTGAAAGTAGAACCTACAGTAGGCCTTTTCTCCATCCACCTATCCCAGTTCACATTAATACCTTGCCAAGACCAGAAGGTACAAAGCATGATGTAATTTTGATCATCCACTACAGATGTGATCCAGAGCTCACTAACATCGACAAGAACTTCCAGCTTCTTTTAAGTAAGCCTTCAGTCAGGTCCCATTTGAGTGGGAAGCAATCATCCACCACATCAAAAGCCTCTTGGTTCTCTCATGGCTAACAGTTATCTACCAGGTCACAATTTAGAGAGAGATTTTCGTATTCCCCATTTCTATCTGAGAAGCATCAAAACTAGTTGAACAAACTATGCAGCTTCTCAAAGGCACCCGCCTCATTCACTGCTTACCTACATGATTTCTCAGGCAAACTACTGATTTAAGTTGCTTCGGCAAAGAAAATGGTGGATATTTTCAAGGCAATAGAGAAGAGAGGGTAGTTGTTTGAAAGAAAGTTAATCTAAACAGCAGCTCCCTTTTAGAAGCTGCTCAACCAGGCCTGCTTTTTAGTGAGACTTTAACCCAACGAAGAGGGAATAAGATAGGATTATTACATTCGATAGGTAAAAGCATGCAAATTTTAGTAGAGGTGACAGCTTCAGCAGACTTAATTAGTATGTGCAAAACATTTAGACGGGGCTTATTTCCATGGAAGCAGTAAAACCTGCACAACATACCCCCTTAGCCATTGCCCTCAGCCCTTCCCCCCAGCAAGGGCAGCAGAGCTATTGGCTGAAGACTTCTTCAGTTCTATTTTCATAGACTGAGGCTCGAATTTGGTCTGATTTCCTGATCCTGGGGCTGTCACAACTGGCTTCCCGGCTTTCATACCTTTAGACATAGGGATTCGGGTGGGTGTAGGTCTCTGGGATGACCCATCCTGTCCTGTCTGCAAGACAAAGAAAGGGGGAAGGAATCATGTTTTTATTTGATTTATTTATGACTTGTCCCAGCACCTACTGAGCAAAGTGACACAGAGTTTCAAATAAAAATTAAAAACCAAAAGAAAATTTACACATTTCATGAATGAAAATAAACAGGAGCAAAAGTATTCAATGCAGTATTGCCAGCAAGTCTTTGAAGTAAGGGAACTAAAGGCCATTTGAAAATTGGCAAAGGAGTGCAGAGTTGGAAAGCTGCAACTCCTCACTCTGCAAGGTTAATTTCTCCCAGGGCTGACTGAGGACACTCCAGTGCCTAAGACAGAGCAACAAACGACACTCAGTTGCCACCCAGCCCTGGCATTCCCAGGACAAAGTGCCCAAGGCCAGTCAAGATACTGTCACCTGCAGCAGAAAATCCCACAAGGACCTCTTCTGCTCACTAGCAGTACTAATGCAAGAGCAAACCACAATACGCTCACACAGTCAGACACTTGAGGCACCAAATGGCTTGTAGATGGTTAGAGGGAGTTGCCCCCACTCCTCTCATAGGGGTACTCTTGTTCTGTCCCTCCACTCATTCACAGACTCATTCAGTCCTGTGAATGTGAGGACTGGGGCCAGATGGTCCTATTTGCCACTGGTAGTTTAATAAATAAGTAACTGTTCTCACGGAGTCTGCTATGGCGCATGTTCAACAGGAAGGTGTACAGTCAAGTGAGAAGTTGCACAAAGGATTGCACAAGGGACTCATACATGAATACCACATCTGGGGCATCTGCGTAATGGTGGACCTGGGTAGGATTGGCCTCCTCCTCATGCTCCAGTCTATTGGTTCAATCAACACATTTAGAGTCAGGGAATCTCATTCATCAGCCCTGCTCCAGATTCCATACACCCACTCCTGACCTCCACACATTGTTCAGCCTGCAAGAATGGGCTTTAAACCTATCAAATGGTATACATAAGTTCACATTCAGGAGTACTGGCAGTGCCAAGGTTTCTAACTATAGAAGTAGAGCCCATTCTTATGTTCTGTGTCATGGCCAGAGGTCAGTGGAAGGGTCCACAGTCACAAAATGGTCAGGAGCTGGGCCAGCAGCTGACTCCACCCTGCTCTATATGTTGACCGAATTCATGGAGCAGAACAGGAGAAGGTGCCATTTGTGACTATTACAAGTTTGGGAGTTCTTACTGCTCATGGCCTGCTATTTTAAAAGTACTGTATAAATCCAACAAGAATTCAGTTCTGTACTTCTTGTCCATTTGGGACAGAGATGGATAACCTGTAGCTCTCCAGCTCTCATTGGATTACAACTCCCATAATCACTGACAATACTGGTTGGGGTTGATTGGAGAGGCAATCCAACACCATCTGGTGGGCCATCCCAATTTAGGCCTATCTGTACTGCAAACTTGTCAGATTTGGACCACTATAACTGACACCACTTTGTCAGAAGTATCCTGGGAACAGTCATTTGGGGAGAAGTTGAACATTTCCTGTTAGAGGCCCTCACTACTGCCCCACTGTGCTACAATCCCCAGGGCTCCATAGGATGAGTGAATTACTGCTACAGCCGTTGAGCCTCTAGCATGGATATGCCCTGAGCACAGATCACCTATACTTATCAGGAATGCAAGCTGCAGGAAGAAAGAAGACTGCTTACATTCTAAATCTCCACAGCACAGCCATCACAGATGGTCTGCAACAATTTGCAAATACATCAACACATTTAAAGAAGGACAAGTATAAGAAACTGCCCTCTGTCATTTAAATTAATTATCTGTAGTTACTATAAATGTGGATATGATTAGATGGGAAACAGATAAGTCTTCACAAAGGGCTTGCTAGTTATTTTAGAGACCATAGAGAAATCTCACGTGCATATCCTTGCCTACAATTATATTGTAATATGCAAATATGGTTTTTATAACAACTCAAAAGGTCAGCCATCTGGTTACATCTTTTTTCCTCCAAACTGGGAAAGTAATTATTAGGAAGAAGGAAAGCTGTTGCATATCAGTTATTATCGCCATAAGAGAGATGTTCAGGATGAATACTGAATCATGAATGAAAAAGTGTGTTTTTGGAGATAATTTCTAAGCAATGAAGCATTCTGTGGCACCTGCAAGAGCTTTCATGAGCTAAAGCCCATTTTATCAGATGTCTGAATGGTTATTCTCCATTAGCAACTGAATACATACAAGGAACTAGAGACACATGAGTAGAAATTAGGGCTCTGCAGAGAAATGTCACACACCTACAGCTACCCAATTTATTTTATGGCCTTTTGAGCTGTGCCTGCATTCTCCCACTAAATTCCAAGCTCACAAATGTGTTTATGGCAGTGAAGGAGGATGGTTTATGCATTGAACAAGGCAGGTTTCAGTTCATTAACACTTCTGCTGGTAAGGAATCTGCATCTTCCCAGTGCCACAACATTAATTCAGCAAATTTAATGGCAAGCTCATTTCAAAGTGCACACACACTCCATGATTTTCAACTTGTTTATTATATTTTATCCCACCTTTTCTCCAAGGAGTTCAAGGTGCCATACACTGCTTCTTTCCCCATCTTTGAAGTGCTGGAAAGTTCCTAGCTGAATTATTCTCCCCCTCTACTGACTCAACTGATCTTGTGGGCTGACACAACAGAGAAGAGTGAACAACGTGTGGTCTGCCAGAAAACGTTGGACTACAACAACCAGCATTTCTGACCATATGGAGCTGGAGTCCAACCTCATCTGGATGCCCACAGGTTCCCCACTCTGCAACAGATGATCTTATTCTCTTGCAGAGAATGGTTTGAATTTTTATTAGTCAAGAATCAAAGCACTAGCCTTTATCTTATGATAGTTCCTGCTATAAGATATTTAAAGAACCTGGCCAAAATGGAGGTCTTTGATCCCACACATTAGCTCCAGGGTGGGGTAATCATACACCTTATGGATAGCAGGCCCATCTCATTCACATTTCTTTTAGGTGAAGGGTCCCCAACATTTTTGGACCAGTAAGCACATTTGGGCATTTGAAAAACTCCTGTGGGTACCACCCTACAATGACTCCCATGAAGGATGTGTTAGGAAGAGAAACAGCAAGACAAGAGGCTGGGGAAAAGAGGGAAATAGAAAGGTTTGCCCCCCCGGCCCATTCAATCTGCTTCTGTTGTCTCAGGCCACTCCCCTTGGCTTTCTCTGTCTGTCCACTTCCAGCCTAGCTGTTTCTCTCTCCCCGCCTCCCCCTTCTCTGTTTTTTCAAATCCCAAGTTTCTTCTTTCTCTTCTTCAGTCTTAGTCCCTGGACCCACTATTCTGTCCCACATCTTTTTACCTTGCTGTTTCTCTCTCCTCACTATTTTTCTCCCCTCTCCTCCTTTACTTCACTTCCTTTTCTTTTCCTTCCTGCCGAATAGCTGACTAGTAGCCATTTAGCTGACTAGTAGCCAGGAAGGAGAATCTGTTGCTTTATGATTTTATAATGTCTTAATTTATTTTTTGAAGGAAATGAAGAGCTTGCAGGTGCCATTAATGGTGCTCATATGGGGCGGGGGCTCTATTTGAGACTGACTGGGCATCCAGGAGCATGAAGCAATTAATCTGCTTGATTTCCCTAGGTCTCCAGAATATTTTAAAGAGATATATGCCAGCGGTGATGCTTAAGACCCTACAAGAGGTGCAGAGACCTTTATTTCAAATGCTGACTTAGTATCACTAACTATTGTTGAAACAATCCATAATTCCCCAAGCTCCCCAGGTACTTCCGGGGAGACTCCCTTCCTCTGGCATGCAAGAGAAAGAGAAGAGGAAGGAAGTCTATGGCTCACAGCAACTCATGTACATAGCAAGGAATCCTGGATGCTTATTACATTTGAATTGGGACAGCAAATCCCCAATAAGAGTTTAAAAAGAACTCAGGCTCCCACACCAAAGTCTAACTCTCTGCCCCTTGGGTTGCACTGATTCTCAAACAAGCAGTGCACAAACAATATTCCATCAAGTTTTATGTTACTCACCATGGATTGTGTTCCTCGCGTGGATGATGTGGTAACGGGTGTAATAGTGATGGTACTTGTAACTTTACTTGCTCCAGGCCTTGATGATACGTTATTCCTTGGGGAACGAAGGACAGTCCCAGTCATAAGCTCCTTCTCTGCTGCTACATTCAGAGGTCTGACCGTAATCACAGGGCTGCCCCCATCTTGAGCAGCACCAGGAGAACGCTTAAACTGAGAGCCTAGGTGGATGTGGATTTTGTTATCCTCCGTTGTTATAATGTTTGTGTTGGCATTGTACTTCCGGACTGGAGTTGGGACGGTTTGTTTTTCCGGTGTCACTCGAAACACGGCCCTCCCCATGGTCATGTCTTGTGATTCTGGGGACACGGTAATTTCTGCAGGAGCTGCAGAGGTTGACACAGTCATGATTTGAATTGGGGAGACGGGCCTTTCCATGAATGGAGACTTTGGACTCTCTGAGGATTTCTCTCTGGAGAATGTGGTTATAGTCACTGGTGACATTGCTCGTTCTGGGCCCACTGGGACCTCAGCAGCTTTCCCTTTTGGAGACATGACATTAGGAGAGGGAATAATGGTAATGCGTGGTTTCTGATTTCCCAAGGTGGGGATGACTGTGGTACTTGAGAAGAAATCTTCAGCTGTTGGGCTAGTAATCTCCAAAGTAGCTGTACTGTTCTCATGATCTGGAGTTACTCGAATATGAAGAGGCTGCCCCTGCTTTGGAGAAAGGACAACCTCTCCAGGACGTTCTGGACTGCTCTGTATTCTGGCTCCTTTATCTTGAGTTGCCTGGGAAGCATTTTCTCTCTTCTTCATCCATGGAATCCAGGATTTCCTCATTGTAAGATCATTTGCTGCAGGAGGATATCTGTCAAGCACAGATGACCTCTCTGTGGGCTTTTTAAGCCCAACCTGTCGAAGATTGCTCATAATATGGTTCTCCTCCTGGAAGGATTTTCGTATAAAGACAGCGGGCGTTTCCTCTTCTGCTGTGTCGCTGCTTACTGCATCTGTTTGTACTCCTGTGGATGTAACAGGTACGTCTACCATTCGTCTACCATTCATGCTGGGTCTCAGGGCACGGCTATAGCGTTTAGACAGCTCAAGCTCTTTTGTTAAGTTCAGCACCTCCTGCCCCATTGTCTTGTTTTTATTTTCTTCTTCCAAAAACCTTTGCTGAAGGACTGAGTAATCCACTTGGAGCTGAGAAAGCTGGTCTTCTTTGTTCATCAGCTCATGAATTTTCTCTTTGAGAGCCTGCACTTCTGCTTTCAAGTCTCTGCTTTTAGCTTCTTCCAGCCGAAACCTTTGCCTCAGCTCCGCCTCCTGACTCACTGCCTCTCCTTTTTCTATTGCTTTGTTTTTAGCAATCTGGAGCTTCATTTCTTCCAGCTGTTGAGAAAGGAAGTTAGCTTTGTCCTGCTCAGTCCTAAATTTTTGCTCAAGCTGATCATATTCATCCTCAGTCTTCATCAAGTCTCCTTCAACCACTTCCAATTGCTTGAGACGTTTCTTCAGTCTTTCCATTTCAACTGTTAGTTCTTTAATCTTATTATCCTCTTGTCCAGAAAGCCCTGGTCCTTTTTTAACTCGTCCTTTGGCTAGTTCTCTTTCTACCTCCTCAATGCCATCAATTCTTTTCTTTAACAGTTCCACTGTACTGCTCAGCTCGGAAGATTTTTCCTCCTCACTCTTCAGCTTGCCAATTAACTCATCCTTTTCCTTTGTCACACTGGACACTTTTTCCTCCATTTCAGATTTCAACTTCAAAAACTTTTTGCTTTCATCTATTAGCTTTTCAGTGACTTCCATAACCTTTCCTTGCTCCACCTTAAAGCTCTTATTCAAGCTTTCAACCTTTCTTTCTTCCTGCTTTATCTTCTCCACCATGTTTTTCCTTTCATCCACCAACATGACAGTGAAGGACTTCAGTTTTGTGAGATCATCTTTTAAGATTAATTCAGCCTTTTCCAACTTGTTTTCTGAAGACTCAAGGTCCTTGACTCGTGTCTTCACCACTTCCATCTCATTGATCAGATCTTTGGTTAAGCTCTTTTCTTTTTCCAGATTCAAACGCAGCTGGGTGCATTCAGATTTGCTTTTGCTGAAAGCCTCCTCTAGCCTTTCTAGTTCTGACATTCTCTTCTGCAGTTTCTCCACTTCAAGCTTCAGTTCCTTGCTATGGTGCTCTTCTTCTTGCAATTTCTTTTTAAGCTCTTTACACTGAGATTCAGTTTTTGTGATCTCCTCATCTTTGCCTTCCATTTCAAGCACGCGCTTGCGGAGATTTTCCACCTCAGCCATCAAGCTGGAGTTCCCACATTCCCCTTTAGCTATTTTGTCTCTCAGTTCCTGAAGCTCCTCTTCAGTCTTTTGAAGACTTTTATTGGTTTCTTCCAGCTCCTCAATTCTGTGGGTTAAACCGACCAACTTAAGCCTGAGCTGTTTGTTGTGTGATTCTTGACTAACCAGTTTAGCAGTCATCTCCTCATGTTCTTGGGAAAATGACGATGTCTTATGTTCCAGTTCTGCCTCTAACTTCATGAGTTTCTGCCCATCCTCTTTATTTTTGGAACTTATAATGTTAAGCTTCTCTTCCTCTTCTCTCAATTTCTGAGTTAGGTCTTGTATTCTCTGGGTCTGCTGGTCGAGTTGCTCAATATGCATCTGCCTCTCATCCACCAGCATGAGTGCAAATGACTTGAGCTTGACTAATTCCTCTCTTAGTTTGTTGAGCCTTTTGGCATGTTCTTTATCCTTGCGGGCTTGATAGAGCTTTTCTTGTTCGAGAAGCTTCTTTAATCTGAGGGGAGGGAAAAATGCACACATTGTCATAGGCTTCCTTGTTTAAAACTTTTAATTCCTGCTTCCTAAAACAAGATTCCTAAAAAACTCCATTATATGGCAATGCACATAATGTGGGTCTGCGCAATGTTGTACGCTTGCCAAAGCTTGCAGTGTGTTCCTTCTTTGAGGGGAGGAAAGTAGTTTTAAATGCTCCTGAATCACACATAAGCCAATATCCATTCCTTGAGAGTTGTGTGTGCTGGAACAAAAAGGGCAGAGAGCACATAACTCTTTTTAATCTTATCCTTCCCCTGCCACCTCCTTCCTATTTGCAAGTAGCAGAACTCAGACAGCCTTCAAATACAGATATGATTTCTGGCCAGATTGGAGTAACAGAAGAGGAGTTTGTACAATTTGTGCAAATTTATGCAATTTGCACAGATTGCACTGGTGATACGCAGCTCTTAGCTCCAACACTGCACAAGTATATTCAGCAAAATTACAGAAGCCCCCAGTTCTGACTCAGCACTCTTTTGGCCATCTGATCAGAAACATATTGAAGTCCCTCAAGTTCAAATGCAATGAGTTTTCCAGTTTTGTACCTCCTTAATAGGAGCCCCAGTGACAGTCTGAGAGAAGGCTGTAGGCTCACTATGGTATTCTGGTTCTGCAAGACTGTATCAGTGCAAAGTGTTCACAACCAATGAAACCACCTGAGAAAATGAGGTCTGGCCCTTTCGGTTTTGCAGGCAGCTATGTTCTGGATCTCATGCAGTATCCTAAGTGCCATAACATTTCCTGCACTACTTTTTAAAGTTATTTGGACAATGGTAATTGAGGTGAGACTTCAGCAGCCACTCAATGTACAAGTTTTTTAGAGGGCCAACTCTGGGCTCAATGTTGTTCTGCTAGACTAGACAGACCTCCATGCTTTTCTCTTCACTGTTAACTCCCAAAGAAACTGGTTACACAGAGTATCTCTCAGATAGAGAGTGCCAACAGACGCTAAACAGACCACTGAGAAACAAGAAAGAACTACCAGGGTGTTTTGGAGAATTCTAAGGTTGTGAAAGTGAAAAGTTAAGCAACCCCCCCCCAAAAAAAACCCCTCTCCCACAATCTAATGAGGACTGATCAGAGTCAGAGTCTTGGCATACAAAATGGCATTTGGAGGGGGAAAAGGGGGAAATTGACCTCGCATGGGATAGAAGTAGGGAAGAGAGGAATGCCTGTTTGGGGAGAATGGCTTGCTGGGACCCTGAAATGAACACTCTTTAGGAAGAGAGCTATGTGCTGCAGCATTTTGTTACAGGTTCCACTTAATCTTTTCTAATCCCCCAGCTCAAAGACACTGTACTAGAAAAACACTTTGTTAAAGAATATTTCACAAATAATGGAATATTCAGCACTATTAAGTGTAATCTGTTACATGCCTCTCCATAAAAATTGCTTGGGGAACAGCAGCAGAACAGGACTACTCATTGACTTCTCAGAGACATCTGGCTGGCTGCTGTTGGAATACCAGGCCTTTGTTCAGCACAAGAATACACTCTTTCCAATAATACACCAGTGTAGGGTACAGCCAACTTCTATAATTCTCCACCTCTTTAGAGTTACCATGCACTGATGATTACGCAATGACAACCAAACATGCCTGGCCGTACATGCGCTAAGAGCCAAGAGCTGCACCATTAACAATTTGAAGTTCGGTTCCAGTTCAAGTTCTTTGCTATAGCTATACATAAACTCCCTGGCATGCTTTCAGTTCAAATGAGCAGCACCCATTTTTACCATATGTATGGCATGTACAGACACATACCTAAAAACAAAGGCTCTGGAAACACACTCCCTACATGATCCTGTCAGGCACGCTGCACTCCTTCCCAGTGCTTAGTGAAGTATGAATGACCCTGTGGTCTGGAAATGGAAACCAGCTATGCTGATGGCCTGACCACTTATGAATTGCCCGCTCCCCCACCCCCCAAAAAAGGACATGCATCACCAGAAAAAGGGGGCAGAAGAAGACACTGATTAGCATATAGGTTATATATATTAATTTGTATGTATATATGCAAAGTTATACATGATTAATGTACTTTCAATAGAACTGCAGTACATCTCATCACCTCATGGAAGACCACAACCAGGCAAACTGTACGCTCTCCTGTTTGTTCTGTTATTCAGCTGCTAATGCTTAGTGGGCAACAGTTCTTTAATCTTTAAACCAGAATTGTACAGGGCAGCTCTTCAAACAGAGGCCACCTTCAAACAGAGGAGAGCCCGTGTAAAAGAGAGCACTTGGCCACCTTTGCAAAGTGCCAACCATCTGGTGGCTCTGACATTCCAGTCCCACCTCCCACTCTCTGCAAGAGCAGGCATGCCACATTACAAACTTGAATGAGGGGTTGTGTGCTGGAAAAGATGGTCATGGACTTTTAATCACATGGCTGTGCAAGCAGCGTGTTTTGTTTGTAACAGCAGGCCACCTGAAGGAAGTGGGAGGGGTACAACTGACGGTGATGACAGCACCTGAAGTGGCGGCCAATTCATTGCAGGGTAAAAGCCAGTTAGGGAGAGGCCAGGCTTCTCCTGGCTTAGGAAAAAGAAATGTGTAACCTGCTGCTCTGGGGTATGGCTCTGCTCACCCAACAATGAGTTACTACTACCACAGTAAGACAGGTAATCTATCTGTGAGGTAATCTATCACAGGAAGGTTTCAAAAGTGTTGTTCCGTGATGGAAGAAATGTGTGTGTAGTCTTTGTTTCATTCTTAGGACAGCTACAGACTTGAAACCAAGAAGGGAGAACAGGGGAGAGCATGAAAGCAAATCCCACATCTTTGGGAGTATGGGAGATCAAGGCAAAAGAAATGTTTACAAAAGTGTTTTAACCTCAGATGACATGATGGAAGATGATTCCCAACTGTCCGAGTGACTGAAACGTGTACGTGCCATCTGTAGCCCTGTGTGTACATCATCTGCCGCCCCTTGAAGGGAAGTGGCAGCCACAGCTGTGCATTTCCCCCCCTCCAATGCACAGGAAGCATTTACTGCTTTTTATCATAAAGAGAAGCATGTACCCAGTGGTATTATTTACCCTGATTTGAGATTATTGGCACAACTTACTTTTTGGAAGCAGTTCTGAACGAGATGTCCAAGGGGGACTAGGCAAGGGCTTCACTGTCTTTTCAGTATTGTGAACAGTTGTGTCTACTAGACCAGAACAGGTATCAGTGCTGCTACCATTCAGACTGAATTAACCATCCCCCTGTGGGTATTTCACTGCCCACTAGAACATTCCAGATTCAATGAAGTTCCCCTGAAAAGGCAGACTTTATTACTCTTTAGAGTCAAAGCAAATAGAAAGCTATTTAGAGTTGAAGTTCACAAAATACATTCCTGTTTCTTTTGCCAGAATTTTTTAAGATTTCCAGAAAGTAATAATACATTTTATAATTCTGCTGTTAAGACTTGCAAGCCAAATAGTGCTGGTATTTTATTTTAAATTGACAGCTGACACATATTTAAAGCATGTGTCAAATCACTGTTTAAATCACAGAAGAAATTCTTCAGCTTATATACTGTTTAGAATGATACAGAACGCTCCGTGTTACAGTGGATTATTCTACATGAAAAGCCCTTGCAAGGAGAATAAGTGTGCAATTATCTTCTAGTCAAAGATGTCCTGCATTTCCTGCATGGAAGAGCTTTCCAGATTGTGAAAGTGTCCCTCCCATTAGCCAATCCTGAAGCTAGTCATGAGAGAGAGAGAGAGATTGATTGATTGATTTCTAGGGATCTGGAAAAAATGTGATAAAATTTATTTTTCCTCCTATTTTTTTTACCCATCCCACCTTTTTTTAAAGTCCAAGCTGCTTTGTTAAAGTGCTTACATGATCACTTTCCTGATAGTCCAAAAAGTTCTGGTTATGTCCAGCTCATCTCTCACCTGTATAGAAAAGCTACTTCTGTGCAGTAGTTGCACATCAGCCTTCAACAGTGCTAAAAAGTATGTAGGGGATTGAGAGTAAATCAAAATGCACATCCAGAGAGGCGGAAGTGACTCCAGTTCACAAAGAAAGAAATTTTTACATGGTGCACATTATTATCCCTATACTATCAAATATGAAGGAGTATACATAGTTCCTGAGAAACCATAACCGCTAGTGAGATCCCAGTTTACTTAAGAAATTAAGGACCTGCATGTTCACACATAACAGCATGCGCAAGAGTCTTTTCTGTTCCTGTAGGGCAGGGATCCTCAAACTATGGCCTGCAGGCCAAATATGGCCCACCTCAGAGCTTTCATTTGGAGAAAACGATCTCTGAACGAGTCTGAAAGCTCTGAGCTGCCGCAGGCTGAAAGCTGAGACTCTTTCAGTTTTGGAGACTAGCAGAGAGCCGGTGCACACGCCAAATTGTAACAGCTCCCTTCATCCGTGCTTGCACTGGCTCTCTGCTAGCTCTGGCTAGCTCCTGCTGCTGTGCCGGTCTTGCCAGCGTGAATTGTGCATGCGCCGGCTCTCCCCTCTATTTCATGCATGCGCTGGCTCTGAATATAGAAGAGAGGAGGGTGGTGGGAAAAAGAGAGAGATGGAGACACTAAAAAAGATAGAAGGTAAGAAAAAATATATTTTAACTATATAATACT